ACAACAATCCTGTGAGGTAGGAGAGGCTGAGAAACAGGAGACTTGAAACAAGATAGAGAAGAAAGCTGCATAAAAGGATACCATAAAATGGAAAGTTTAAAAAGCCCAGGAGAATTTTTTTTGGAAAATTATTCTTTGGTGCCTGAAGTAGGTGGGCTGCAGGAATGCCCCCCCCCATGAAAAGGAAAGCTTTCCTTTTGGGAATTATAGGGACAGGACTACCCAAACTCTACAGAAATTTATTCATGTATGTGACCACAGCGGCAAGAATGTTACCTTCCCAAAAATGGAAAGAAGAAGAAGTCCCAGCAAAAAAAGAATGGATACAAAAACTTATGGAATATGCAGAAATGGCAAAAAAATAAGAAATCAAGATAACAAACTTTTATAAAATAATGGAAATTGTTTATTGAATATTTACAAAGAAATTGTAAACAGGTAAGAACATTGGTAGGATTATAACCTGCAGTTTCATAAGAGTATATATTTAAAGTAGATGAATGAGTAAATTAAGTTAAATTGGATATGCAGAAAATATTAAAAAATGAATTTAAAGAACCGCAGAAAGAGGAGGGAGGAAGTCAAGTTTTGAAGTGTTAAAATGATTATAAAATTATTGAAATTTATAAATAGAAAATCATAAATAAAATAAAAAAGGAGTGCCCCTGGTGGAGAAAATTCCAGCAGTGAGGGGCCACCACTGATAAGGCTGTGCCTCAGTATTAGGAGTTTCCAGGTCTGTCAGTTTATATGTTGTGGAGGCAGGGTGGCGTTGGGGGAAGAGATGATGGCTGATGATAATGTGTCCCCTTGCAAACTACCTCTGCGGTGTCCTTTTCATCCTGCTCCTCACGGAACTGTGCACTCTACTCTCCAGAAGCAGATGGGGAAGAGTTAAACCTACCAGACAGCTGCGAAAACTCAGTCAGCCATGCAAATACTTCATTTCACCCTGACCTTTGGCCAAACTGTGAAGTACCATGATGTGAGGGCATTTCAAGAGTTTCTGCTGGGGCCCTGCGCTCTCTCGCTCTCTCTCTCTCTCTCTCTCTGAGTGAAACTTGAGTTAGCATCCCTAACTAAGGAAAGGCAGTGCTATGGGGAAGTTCTCTGTGCCAAAGTCGGGGGCGTAATGACATATTCAACCGTGAATGCCAAAACCTCCCTCCTTCATCCGCAAAAGGCTACCTAGTTTTAAGTGCTGTTTTAAAGGACTAGTTCTTTTTCTAATAGGATTGCTTCCCCACCCTTTGTTCTGGTTCTATTGCATTTGTTTTCAGATTGCACGCTCATTTTTTGCTTTAAAGTGATGTTCGTATTTTGTTGTGAGAACTGTTTTGGTTGAAGGGCGAAGCGCCAGCGTCTAGAATGAAGCGGATCATTTTTTACAAGACCGATTCCTCCCACCCCACCCAAAACGGCTTCCTTCTCTAGCCCCTCGCCTCCCCATCTTTTTGCTGATTTTTCCATCTTTCCGGATCGCTCCAGGCAAAGCCAGTGACGTGAGGATCCTTGAACCCAGTGTGGGAGGTTGGGGGGGGCAGGGAGGAAAGGGACCATCGTAAACAGCTGGCACAATGTCTCCCCCACCCCACTGCTGAGGGTCAGGAAGGGGGGTCCTGGCAGCATCAATGCCCTATTCATTCGCCTGGCGTCATTGCAAGGGTGAGAGGTGGGAGGAATGGAATGCGAGGGCCAAAGTGTGCCAGGGAATACAAGAGGTGCCCCTTCGGATCATGAGGCGCAATTGTATTCCCAGCCAGTAGCATATGGGAAGGGAGGTTTTTTGCATCAATAGGCAACTTTGTATGGATTATATCCGGAATATACTGCCACAACCCCCTGCCACTGGTTGTGGCGTTACACTGGTGCTTCTTCCAGTGGTCGTTGGTTGCAGGGAGGGTGTCTGTGGATACTTGATTGATGACCCATCATTGGAGCACAGCATCATAGCCTGTGTGGATACCCAGAGCTTCCTGAAATGCATCTTAAGTTGCGTCCACCTGCCAGGTAGGAGGAGAAGGAAGTGAAAAACTGGTTGGGTCAAGCTAAGGGTGTGGAGAACAGCAGTTGAGCTTTGGCAAGCAGGAAAGATAGTTTTGGATTTCAGGATGCTAGACAGATTCTTCTCTCTCTCTCTCTCTCTCCCCCCCCCCTCTTGCCTTTCCTCTAAGGAGTTCAGGGTAGCGCATCTGGCTCTCTCAAGGGCCAGCCCTATTGTTAGGCAGAGTCAGACCATGGTGGTTTTTGCAGGGAAAGCACTGTGGCAAAACAACAACAGTAAGTGCTTGAGCACAGACCTTTTAAGAACGGACCTGTTCCTAGACACACTGTGCGAAAGGAAGTCTGGATGAGCCCTAACACAGCTACCCCATCTGGAAGGTATCTGAGTTGTGTCTGTACTTACGGCTGCTGCAAATTAGGCTTGAAAGTCATGCCTGCTGCAGTTGGCAGAAGTTGGTCGGGGTGTGAATGTGCATTGCTGAGAGAGGCGCACGTCTAGTAGTCTAGGATTGGTGTGTCGGCCCAGGAACTCTTCTTGACCCCCAGGGGAAAGATTTGCCAGAAGCAATATAACGAGGCACATCTGCTTATTTTGTGCGAGAGACACCCAGCACAGGGAACTGAGCTTCCACTGGCAAAGAATGTGGATTTGCTTTTTCAAGCCCAGGGAATTTGCAGCCTAGAGGCTAACGTGCTTTCCATTGTTGCAGCGGTTCTCTGAACCTCTTCCTTTCTGTAAGCTGAGAACCAGTAAGATCCTGCCTATCCCTGCCCTGGAGAAATCTAATTATAGGCAGCCATCTATTCTTTTGAATTCACCAAAGTGGGGTATGCTAGGCTTCCTGCTATATCTTTCTGCTAGGTGTATTAGCCTTGGCTACAGACGTTAGTCAGGAGGAGCCACATAGCAGTGGAAGGGACCATGATGCGTTCTGTATACAGGACGCTGGTTCAATCCCAGCCATCTCCACTTAAAAGGATCTCTGAATGTTTTGGTAATGGTATGCACAGCAACTGAAAATGTGACTTGAAATGCAGCAGAGAGGGAGGAACGACCTCGCTGTGTTTTCAGCTGCTAACATGTGCATAGCTTTAGTCTCAGAGCAGACCCATTGAAATTAATGGACATGACAAGCCCATGAATTGCAATGGGTGTACTCTGGATTACTTAGTTGACTAAAACCCATAGTTGTAAGGGGGCATAGATGGCTGGCTGAAATCCCACTTACCTAAAGCACTAGATATATACCCCCAGCATGGTTAGAGTGTTGGGCTGTGACCTTGGAGACCAGGATTCGAATCCACACTCAGCCATGAAGCTCATTGGGTGACCTTGGACCAGTCACTCACTCTCAGCATAACCTTATTTTACAGGGTTGTAATGAAATGGGGAGGAGGAGAACCACCTTGAGTTCTTTGGAAGATAAAGGTGCTATATAAAACTGTAATAAATAATAATAGAAATAAATAACGGAATCAGTAACGCCAGTGGACAGGAGTGCCAAAAGGGTGTTTCCCGACAGTCACTGTTTCTGGGTGGGATTCAGTCACATACCACCCAATTTAGGTTGCACAGTTAAAGTTGATTGGGAGGCCTCAGATTCACCTCCCTGAAAAACCTTGCTTTTTAATGACAAGGAAAGTGATGGGAAAGGCCGTGAAAAGTGTGGGGGAACACTTGCTTTGAAGCAACGGTCATCTTAACCTCCTTGCAAACAAATGAATGCCCACTGGATAGTCAACATCGTCTAATCTCCCTGCTAACAAGTCGGGATAAATGCTCAGCAAACCAGGTGCCTAGAAAGACCATGAAGTTCTAAATGTCTGCTGAAGAGGGACTCAGAAATCGCTTCCAGGGGTTAAAAGCCTCCGTTATTAAGAAATGCAGGCCTGAGTGTTTAACAACAAAGGGGTGATTTAACTGTAGAATTCTGCTGCCAAGAGAAGGGGTGGAATTTCCCATCTCACTGAGTTGACACTCTCTCGAATGAGATGCTTTTGCCAGACACAAGCAGGTGGGCTTGATCCAAAAATAACTAGAGGGAATTTGCTGGCAGGGGTTGAACTGGGGAGCAGGTTTAATGGTTTCAACACTCTATTCTGACTTTCAGTTCAAAAAAAGAAACGATGAAAAAGAATCAATGAAGCCTGCAAAATTAAAAGTGTGTGTGTGTGTGTGTGAGAGAGAGAGAGATATATACTGGAATAAACGGAAAGATTTTAACAGATTGGTGTCTCCTGCTGCTTCTAAGAAAATTGAATTTTGTGCCCAGGAAACTAAAATTCTGTGCTCAGCAACTTAAGTTAGATGAAGCAAAAGGACATATGTTACTACACTTATTTTTCACAATGCTGCTTTATTCTATCATTTATAAATGTATTTTGGGTTTTTGTTGTTGCCAAATCTGGAATGGGAGGGCATGAAAGGGATGCAGGTGGGAGAGAGAATGGAGAGAAAGAAAGGGATTTGAAACCATGTTTGTCAGATGGGAACAAATAATGAAAGAATGGATTTTGCATATCTTGTCAGGAAACACTTGGTTGGGGGGTGGGAATATAGTCTCAAGAGAGAGATCATTTAAAAACATAATATGAGCTTTCTGGATCAACCCCCATGCAGGACCTACTGAGCTGGATAGACCAATGTTCTGACTCAGCAGAACCCAGTTCCCTGTGTTCCAAAGCTGGTGGGATGTGACCCACAATTGTGTCAAGATCTCGCCCAAGTTGCATCACACAGACAGTACAGTGACCATCTTTCTGTGGGAGGAGAAAGAGGCGGGGAAAGAAAGGATGCCATGAAGGATGGTTTGGTCGAGGTTGTCAAAAGTGGGTTCCATGAGGCTGAGGGGTTAAGCCCGGGGTCCCCGGAGAAGGTTAAAGACCTCGTGCCTTACATTCCCCCAAAGCGCTGGCCCAAAGCTGTGGGATTCTGGTACTGTGAACATCACATGAAGCATTCTTGCAACAAGCCAGCATTCTCTTTTCTTTTCCAGATCAGCATTGGGTCAGCTGAGGACCATGTCGGAAGGGGACCGGCCTACAAGCGGCCTGAGCCAAGCCAGCAGCACAGTCACCATCTCTTCCGTCTCCATGGGAACAAAGGTGAGGAATTGGAAGTGGTCCGAGCCCTCTGGACAGGTGCTGCTGGGTCGATAGATAGGCTTCCAGAGATCCTGCTCGCCTTGTCTTCCTGAGCTAATGGGCTTTGCAGCTTCATTTGCAAGGAACACCTGAATAGTGTTTACCTCAGGAGTTGGCAGCTTGTGCTTTAAAATAAACAAATAACCAAAGCTCTTTTTCGGGAAAAGGAGAGTTCTACAATAACCATGCGAACAAGTCCACAACATTTATGAGGCCTCAAAACATTCACACTGGCAGATGTATCCCTGCATACCTCTGTGAGGGCTTATCCATATTTCCCACTGCTTTCTCCCAGGGAAAACTGCTCTTTAGTGCCCAATCAGAGCAAACAGGGCAGTCTGGGACAAGTGTGGATGAGCCCTCAGTCATTTGTGGCACATTTGTGACCTGAAAGGAAGGGAGGAGGGGATAATCATTTTTCTCTCGGTTTACAAAGGCTTTCTTTCTTTCTTTCTTTCTTTCTTTCTTTCTTTCTTTCTTTCTTTCTTTCTTTCTTTCTTTGCTCTGCCTTCACCCTAAGGTCCCAGGACAGGTTACAACAATTAAAACATAATGTTTAAAACAGTTTAAAACAACTTACTATCGCAGAAATAAGGCGAGTCCTAAAAATCCCCGATGTCAAACACCAGGGTAAAGAGGTACAAACCTTTGTACGGTGAAGATGCCAGAAAGTGCCGGATTTACGTATAAGCTAAACAAGCTATAGCTTAGGGCTCCAATCTCTTGGGGCCCCCCAAAAAGTATACTTCTTCTTAATTATATTTCACTATCCATATACTTCTTCTTAACTGTATTTCAGTTCAACAATTACTTTGATAAAATACATATTTTGTTATGTGCAAATGGTTTTAGATACCTATTAGGTCCATAAATTACCATATAGCATATATTGAACACAAAAAACAGCGGCAGTTTGTTGTTGACAAAGGACAGCTGGACATACAAAGGGCCCCATTACCTTCAGCAGCTTCATCACACCTAAATCCGGCCCTGATGCCAGACACACTGTGGGGCAGAAGTTCCACAATTTAGGGGTTGCCATAGAGAATCCCCTCTCCTGGGCTATTTCCCCCAGCTTCTGAGGGTGATGGAGCAACCCATGAACTTTACTAAAACTATAAATAAATATATGGTTAGGGTTGAAAAGACTTGCTTGGGAGATGGTAATTAAATTAATTTGAATGAGTTGTGAACAGCAGCTCAGATGTCCAGTGCTTATACCATGGGAAGCAGCTCATTTCACCAACATCAGAATGGTTTCATAGGGATTTCCATTATTACAGTGATAACGTATTGCACCTGAGTATTTGAGGAACATGAGGCATTTTTATTTACCGTAACTTAATTATATCAGAAGCCACTGTACATTCAAAGAATCCCCAAATGCTGTACAGAGAGAGAATTATAGAACAATACAGATCCCAGAACTGTAAACAACAACCCCAACAAGGATTAAAAACTGCAGGAATAAGGCAGACCAATCTTGGAAGGCTTGGAAGACAAGAAAAGTTTTCAACAAATGTCAAAAACAATGTTGGAGCTTGCTTCACTCCTAAGGGGAAGCGCATTCCTGAAGTCTGGTGCCACAGTGTTGAAAGCGCAGGCTCAAGTCTCAGCACGCCTTGCCACAGGGGTGTTGGGCATCAGCAGCAGATCTAAGTGATTGGAATAGGATGTGTGTGGGGAGAGAGAGAGAGCTTCTCAGACGCCCCGATCCAGAATCATATGAGGCTTCTAAATACCAGATTCAAATACTTGAATCTAGCTTGGTAGCCAATTGGCTACTGGCATGTGACATAAGCATATGTAGAAAGAGGCAATGTTTACTTTGCTTGTAAACAATAGATCTTGAGATTGTCTGAGGCCATATGCACTCTGCCAAGATGTATTGGGAATATTCTCTTGGTCTGTTTATGTATAAAATATTTTATGTAACAGGGACGCGGGTGGCGCTGTGGTCTAAACCACTGAGTCTAGGGCTTGCCAATTGGAAGGTTGGCAGTTCCAATCCCCGCGACGGGGTGAGCTCCCGTTGCTCGGTCCCTGCTCCTGCCAACCTAGCAGTTCGAAAGCACACCAAAAAGTGCAAGTAGATAAATAGGCACCGCTCTGGCAGGAAGGTAAATGGCATTTCTGTGCGCTGCTCTGGTTTCGCCAGAAGCGGCTTAGTCACACTGGCCATATGACCCAGAAAAACTGTCTGCAGATAAACGTCTGCTCCCTCAGCCAGTAAAGCAAGATGAGCACCGCAACCCCAGAGTCGTCCGCGACTGGACTTAACTGTCAGGGGTCCTTTACCTTTACCTATTTTATGTAACATACATTCAGTGGGGATACTCACCACTGGCAATGAGGCAAATGGATGTTTACAAGTGCCTGCTGCATAGATTTTGCAGTGTAACTATGTTTGAGGCTGCCTTAAGGGATATAAGAGGGAAGAAAGGAGAGACAGCACATCCTACATTCATCCTGAAATAGGCTCTAGTCCAGGCATAGGCAAACTCGGCCCTGCAGATGTTTTGGGACTACAACTCCCATCATCCCTAGCTAACAGGACCTGTGGTCAGGGATGGTGGGAATTGTAGTCCTAAAAACATCTGGAGGGCCGAGTTTGCCTATGCCTGCTCTAGTCCAGCATTGTTGAAAGCACTATACAGTGGTGCCCCGCAAGACGAAATTAATTCATTCCGCAAGTTTTGTCGTCTTGCGAATCACGAAATCCCATAGGAATGCATTGAAAATCAATTAATGCGTTCCTATGGTCAAAAAAAGTCCAAACAAAGCCAAATTTGGTACAACAACAGTTTATTAACTGCTCTTTAAAGTCACACATACTGTAAAGAGCAGTTCAAAAATTGAAGGGAAAATAAATTAACTTTATAAACATGACAGAAAAACATTTAAAAATCAACAAAGTGTACAGTACATTTTCTAAGACTCTGGGGGACCATTCGAAGAAGGCTCCTCTTCCACTCTTTGCTTCTTGCTCAAGAACCTGTCCATAGTCTGCTGCTTCATCCGCCTTTTCAGCACCTCCCTGAAAGACGACATGACCCTCGTATCAAAAGTGTTCGCAAGGTCACGTGTCAGGTCCTTGTCAGGGTGGTGCCACTGTGCAAAAGCCTGCACATCTTTCCACTTCTGGCAAATGTCCCTCAGTTCTTTGGAGGACACAACCTCCAGGAACTCCGCTGCAAAGTCTTCAGCCGCAGGAACATCAGAACTGGCAGCCTCTCCATGCCTGACCACGCTGTGGATGCCAGATCTTGTCTTGAACCGGTCAAACCAACCTCTGCTTGCCTTGAAGACTTCTGGCTCGCCTGAGGTTCCTGGCTGTTCCCGGATGAGGTCAGCGTGCAAGGCCTTGGCCTTCTCACAAATGACGGCCTCAGACACTGTGTCCCCTGCACGCTGCTTCTCTTCTATCCAGATGAGCAGCAACTTCTTGACCTCCTCCAGAACAGCTGGGCGGTTCTTCACGATCCTGGTGACTCCCTTGGCTGCATCAGTCGCCAGGATCTTCTCCCTCATCTTCAGGATGGTCCCGATGGTTGATGGATTCCTCCCGTACTCCCTGGCGATGTCCGTCACACGCATTCCGCCGTCGTGCTTCCGGATGATCTCCTTCTTCATTTCCAGCGTCACCTTCTCCTTCTTCCTCTCGCCGGCCACCGCAGCAGCAGTCTTCTTGGGTCCCATGGCAGCACAGCTCTTACCTTCGTAAACTCAGAAAAAGAAAAAGAAATCAGTGATGTGCTTCAAATCCAAAAAATTCAAAAGCACCCAGCCACCCACCACACAGAAATTAAAACCCAGAACCAAGTCCTTGAATCCCAAACACCCCAACCCAAAATCCAAAATCCAAAAACCCCCAAAAAAGTTTTAAAAGTTTAACTTACCAAATGGATGCAAGAGAAGTTCTGGAAAAGCTTCAACAATCAATCACCGAAGTCTTCAGAAACCTCAAATGGCTGCAAAATAAGTTTTGGAAAAGCTTCAAAAATCACCAATGTCTTCAAAAACCTCAACTGTTCCCACAGACACCCACCCACCCACCACACAGAAATTGCAAACCCCTCCCCAACTGCTCCCCCAGCCCCTCCCCAACTGCTGCAAACCCCTCCCCAACTGTTCCCCCACCCAGACAAAAAAAAATTTCAAAAAATAACAACATGGCTCAATGGTCCCAGATTCCTGCAGAAACCTCTCCAACTGTTCCCCCAGCCAGCCAGCACTCAGAAATTCAAACTCAGAAAAAAAAAATTGAAAAAAAACAACCTGGCCCAATGGTCACAGAAAATCATAAAAATTCCCAAAAAAGCCCCACAAGCTCCCAGATTATCGCAACCCCCCCCCACAACACCAAGTCCTTGAATCCCAAACACCCCAACCCAAAATCCAAAACCCCCCAAAAAAGTTTTAAAAGTTTAACTTACCAAATGGATGCAAGAGAAGTTCTGGAAAAGTTTTGGAAAAGCTTCAAAAGTGAGCAAAGTCTGAGAAAAGGCTACCAAACCACGTGCTAACAGTTGCTCCTCGAAGTCAAGTCGCAACTGCAGCTGTTCAAGCTAAGCACCCTTTGTTTTAACGGTTTTTAGACAAAGGAAACAAAGTCGCGAGACGTTTTCGTCTTGCGAAGCAAGCCCATAGGGAAATTCGTCTTGCGAGGCAACTCGAAAACGGAAAAACCTTTCGTCTAGCGAGTTTTTTGTCTTGCGAGGCATTCGTCTTGCGAGGTACCACTGTACCTTTAAAGCACTTTTGAAACATACTCTTTGCCTCAAAAAATTCTGGAAACTGCAGTTTACCCTTCACAGACCTACAGTTCCCTTAACAAGCGAGAGTGCCCAGAATTATTTGAGGGAAAGACTGAGTTTCAAAAGTGCTTTGAAGGTATAGTAAGTAGACAGCAAATGACAACAAATCTGTTTGTATTGATGGTGCTACAAGGCTCTTTGGTTTTGCTGTAGTAGACAAATAGCAGCACCCCTCCCAGAAATTGCCAGTTTCTAAGTCACACTCATAAAGAGTGCCAGTTCCTTTGGCTTACCATCCTTTCACTTATCACTTTCCTGCGGTAAAAAGTTTTAGGGCTGCAACGCTTACTCAGGTTTGGTTTCCTTTGGAAGGAGGTCATGGGAGGCCTATGGGCATTGTGTAATATTTGCATTTGAACTGATTTACATAGGTGGAGGCAGGCACAGCTTCAAACACTTGAACTGATAGGCAACATTACATCAGATCTCTAGGGAGGCAGCCAGCAACCGGAGATCACTTTTTAGAGCTCCAAACTCAGCTTTTTGTGGCTTTCCTAGTCAAGCTGAAACTGCGGACTTCTCTTCACATAAATGCCTGGATTACATCATCCTTAGTCAATGGGTGACTGGGGGTGGGAGTGGTCTGCCTCCGATGCTTCTTTCTATCTACATTCCCACAACATTCCTGCAACAGGAGACAAGGGGCTAAGTATTTAGTTCCCTATTACAACATATCTCAGGGCTATTGACCACTCTTTTGTCAGCTTCAGGTATTGCCTCAGGGAAACCTGCCCAATAACCCCATTTACAGAAATTTGATAGGAAACCTGTTGCTTTTTTTCAGGTGGGATTTAATCAAATACTGGCAAATTCAATTTGTGCAGCTGAAGTTGATTTGGAGCTTTTGAGCAACAGTATCCACTTGTTCCTAAAATTGGGCCTTTGATGATAAAGCAGGTCTGGAGGGACCTTTGGCCTCCCAGATGTTGCTAGACTACAACTCCCATCAAGTCCAAAGTGTGTGGTCAGTCGCCAGGGATTATGGGAGTTGTAGTCTTAAAACATCTGGCAGGCTGAAGGTTCCCCACACTTGTGATAAAGGGAAGCGATTCTCACCAGGCTTGTAAATAGCATTAGCCCACATTCTTCTGTTTCTTTCCTTACTTACCTCCTCCCCCTGCTGTTTGACCACTGCCAGTTTTGGATTGTAAGCTCCTTCAGAGCAGGGACCATGCACATACTGCCTAGGTAAGGCTTTGCAGTTCGTAGGCTAGTTTGTCCACCTTGCTCCCTGGCTTGCATTCAGCTCTCACTTGTGTCTCCTAGAAGTTGTCAGCATGTGACAGCAGCCACACATTGTGAAGGGCTTTGATTGGCCAGCTAAACCCGGTGAGGGCAGCCGATGGGTCTCAAATCCTAGATGAGTTGGGGACTTCTCCTGCATACAAAGACAGGCTCCAGCGGATTGAGTGGACGAGACCAATAGCGGGTCCAACGGTCAAGAAGACGGTTTCTCCCTGTGCTGCAGAGGGAAGTGAGGGGCAGATGAGACTTGTCAGCTTGGGAAGCTAGCCCATCTAGGAGAAGGAAAACTCTGGTCCTAAAACTCCACTGCCTTGTGAGATATCTTCGGGAGAAGAGAAGGCTAAGGAGTAAAGCCTACACAAATCTGGAGTCCCTAAGACGGTTGGGTGGCGCTTTGTGCGCCTCCTTCCAGCAACTCCTGCAACCATGCTGGGACCAAACGTATTGCTCTGCTTTCCTTTGGACCACATCAATGAGATGGAGAGGGGGGGAGGTCTTGTTGTCTGGGCAGCCCAGGACCTCCATGCATGCTCCCCAGGCTTGTGCCCCGTTAGGCAAGGTGAGGCCATGGTTTGACATCACCCCACAGAGGCGCACTCCATTGTCTTGAGACAGACCGATGCCAACAACTGATGGCGTGCTATTAACAACCCAGTATTGCATTTCACCATTTTGTCTTCCGCAGCCACGCTCAGCCCGGCCTGTCCGGAAGGTCCACGCTTTTGGGAAGAGGGCAAACTCCATCAAGAGAGACCCCAACTCGCCTGTCATCATGCGGGGGTGGCTTTATAAACAGGTAAAAAAGTGCATGAGAAACGAAGGGGGTTCCTTAGCTCAGAAGCAGCCAACGTGGTTCCCTCCAGGTGTTTTCAGCCACATCTCCTCCCATCTGCCCCAGCCAGTGTGGCCATTGGTCAGGAATGAGGGGAGTTGTTACTGACATAATATGGATGTTATCACGTTGGCTGTGCATTAGCCTGAAGGATGAGTGGCTGAATGTTGGCATGGGTGGACCCAAATAGAACAAGGGAAGCCAGAGGCTGCTGGTGGCATCACACGCTCAGCATCTGTCATTCTCGGGCAGCTGTTAGAGCTGCAGTGTCACAGCAGCAGGGGCCACCACAGATGAGACCATGCTCCCCACCACCACTGTCAGTGTTGCCAACACCGCAATAGATCAAGATCTTGCAGAGATTTTGAGATCTTGCCCAAAGTTGTCATGATCTCGCCCCAAATCAGTGTTGATGGTGGTGCCACTTAACGAGCAGCTCAATAAATAGCCAACGTCGTGTCATCTCCCTGCAAGGAAATCAGGACGAATCTTTGATAGAGAGGTCTTCTGGAAGTAGCCCATGTCCTCTAGCCAGGGGCAGAATGTTTCCCCTCCAGTTATGGCAGAAAGCCACATGTGTGACAGTTAGCAGCTTTACTACCAATCCTGTACCCTCTGATAAAACAATATGTTTGACGTAACCAAGCAGAATGATCAGGGGTTCTCCTGGGACTTGATGCCCTGGGCACCTTTGATCTCCCTTTTTCCTTTCCTTTCCTCCTCCAGGACAGCTCTGGTCTTAAACTCTGGAAACGACGTTGGTTCGTCCTTTCTAATTACTGCCTCTTCTACTACCGAGGTAATTGGGATTTCCCCATGGTTCTGCCAGAAGTGGGCGGAAGTGATGTCATTGTGCTTTTGGAGGGAGGGCTTTTTTCATGTCTCAGGCAAGGTAGGCTGGTCAAGCATCGGAGGGTGTGCCTCCTTCCTCCTCCTGTTGCTTTCTCAGCCTATAACATTCCTTATGGTCTGTCTGGGAAGCAGAGCTGGGAAAATATGCTGTAGGTTGGGGTGGAAGGCTCATGGGCCTCCAGCTGTTTACAGTGGCGTAGCGTGGGTTGTCAGCACCCTGGGCAAGGCAAGTAATTTGCGCCCCCTAACCTGTGGGGGTAGGGGGCGCAGGTAGGGGCAGAGAGCTGCGAGCGCGCCCCCCCCCAGATGTTGCGCCCGGTGCGGCCGGCCCCTCCTGCACCCCCCACGCTGCGCCACTAGCTGTTTATTCCTTTTACTTACTTATAAGCATATTTTTATACTGTTGCATCAAAAAATACATCAAAGTGGTTTACAACAAGACTTTCTATATGTATTCTAAAAGCCCACATGTTCTGTATCCAAATCTAAAAAGGGTGTGCTGAGAATTTGCTTGCTTTCATTTCATTTTCGACTCTGCTCCTGACTCTTTCTGGTGGAGGAGTTCAGCCTTATATATATCCTTTTTCTTCTGATTCCTCAGATTTGCACAAAACCGGATGTTGTGTTCTTTTGGTTCATCAGATTTGCCCAAAGCCAGAAAACTGCACAAGCAGCTATACAGTTGCCTGGCTCTGTGCTTTTGTGTACTTCTTGGGTGGGGGATATTAAAACGCAAAACAAGATGAGGACACTGCTATCTGTGGTCATGCCCTGTTGGCACTTAACTGGGGTGATAGAATCCACAAACTAGAAGGCAGGGAAAAACACAAAAGATAACTCCTACTGGTATGAATAGGAAAGACCGAAATTGTTTCTCATACGGAAATTAAAATACGTGTGGGTGTGGACTACTCCAGTGTAATTCAAATTTTGTGTGTGTGTGTGGATAAACAACTAAATAGTGCTCAGATGCGGGCAAGCCCTTTTGTCCCCCAACATAAGCCCTATGGTTGAGAGAGAAGTCCTTGACTCTTCTCCCTACCAGCCGGACCTTAGGCAGTGGAGTGGACTGCTAGCCAGGTTTGAAGGATTGGAATCGCTAGTTCAGGCCCCAGAGATCTTGAGGGCCCCACAGGGCTGGAGGGGAAAACCTGTGGCTCTTCAGACGTTACAGGGATCCAACTCCCATCAGCCCTGACCCTTGGACAGGTGGGCTGGAGCTGATGGGAACTGGAGTCCCAACAACATCTCAAGGGCCACACAGGGTTCTTTCCATCTTTAGGGAGAAGTGCATTGAAGCGACTTCTTAGAATCATAGATCTCAAGGGTCCTCTAGTCCACCCCCACCCCCCAAATGTAGGATTCTCCTGTGACTTTTTCTTTCCTTTGGCAGGGTTGGAAATGTGTGTGTGTTTGTTTTCCAGACAGCCGCGAAGAGAAGGTTTTGGGCAGCATCCTCCTCCCCAGCTATGAGATCCGGACAGCGTTCTCCAAGGAGAAGAAGAACCGGCGCTTCATATTCAAGGTCAGTCCTCCCCCCAGTGGGATGCTTGTTTTCTTCCAAGGTCTGTGACTTTGCTGTCACCCAAGGTCTGTTGACAGCCATGAGTGATGGGTGAGAGATTCAACTTAGTTTGCATTTGAAGGTGAACTTAAATCCCACTGTGCAAAGCAATAGGAGAACCCGAACAGAGTCGCCCTTCGGAACCCGCATTTCTGCATATTTTGCAATGCACACAGTGTGTGCATATACTAGGGGAAACTGTGCACGTAAATGAAAACAGCATACAAAAATGCATTTTTATTAGGGGGAACTGCTTTGCAAAAAATGTGTACATGAGGCAAAATTGCACACGAACATACGTATACAGTGGTACCTCGGGTTACATATGCTTCAGGTTACATTCGCTTCAGGTTACAGACTCCACTAACCCAGAAATAGTATCTAGGGTTAAGAACTTTGCTTCAGGATGAGAACAGAAATCGCGCGGTGGTGGCGTGGCAGCAGCAGGGGGAGGCCCCATTAGCTAAAGTGGCGCTTCAGGTTAAGAACAGACCTCCGGAACGAATTAAGTACGTAACCAGAGGTACCACTGTATTAGGAGAAAATTGCCGAAGAATTTTCATGAAGCCTTTTTTTTAAAAAAAAGAAAGCTAATAAATCGCAAACTGATGTGGAAATGTGGGGAAATGACAGGCAAAATGAGAAATGGAGAGAACCAAAGCCAACAGATCCTCTCCTCCATTAGCCAGCCATGCAGAAAGCCCACCAGAAGCCCTCAAGCCCACCCTCTTCTCCGCTCTCCAGCTGTTGTCCACCAGAATTTCCGTATGCCTGCTGCCCCCTTGAGGATGCGTTGGGCCACTGCAATGACCCCTCTTTTTCTTCTTTTACCTTCCAGGCCGAACATCCTGGCATGAGAACCTATTATTTCAGCGCAGACACCCAGCTGGACATGAATAGCTGGATCCGCGCCATGAACCAGTCGGCCGCTGCCGAGTGCGACTATGGAAGCTAGTAAGGGCTGGGGACAAGTGTATTCTACGCACAGCCCTGCGCTGGCTGGCTGGCTGGCTGGCTGTAACCTTGCCTCTGGGGTTCTCTGGTTTGGGGATGGGACATGAACCCATCAAAAGAGGGACTGAGAAATAGGAACTTTTGAAAGGGAAGCAAGTTCCATTATGGTCAGGATCGTGGAGAGATTAAAGGTGCAGATGTTTTTAAAGTTTTCTAGGAGAGAGATTTGGTTTGCTTAGGATGGGAGACTCTTCTTCCTGTTATGGTCCGTTGGGGAGGGGGCGTCACCTATCAAGGACCACATCCAGCGGCTGAGACAGATGCCCACTGTGGGGAGGAGGGCAAAGCCAAAAATAGGCAGTGCCGCTCGCCTTTCTTCCTTTCAACCATCGCCTTCTCTCTCTCCTTCTGCCACCCCCCCACCATCGCCCTCTGCCTCCCCACCCAGCAGGCTGCCCAGAGAGGGACAAGTTGCTGATGCCAGACACCCAGACTCGTCACTTTGAGATTAGTTTTGAAATTAGCCCGTGGACACCCTTATTTTAGGAATACGGGGTGTCTGGATTCATGGGTTACCCAGAAGCGACGTGGGCGAAATAGGGAGGTTAAGCTGTGAGCTTTGAAGGAGTCAGCTAGGTTGCGGCACAGGCTGGTCCATTAGGGCGAAGCAAGGCATGGCCCCACCCATCTCAGCCTGCCCTCAGCCGCTCCACATCTTCCTTCCTTCCTTCCTTCCTTCCTTCCTTCCTTCCTTCCTTCCTTCCTTCCTTCCTGTCATTGACTCTCTGGCGCCACCTACTGTTGGGCTCCCTGCATTCCGCCCTACCAGTCTCAACGGCCACCACTGTGAGGTTGGACGCTGGGTGGGGTTGGAGGGGAGGAATCTTGATTTCAAACTCTCTGCGGGCAAAGGGGAAGGTCATCGCAGGGGAACCAGCCACCTGGGCTTTGATACAGTCTAAAAAAATCTTCCCTTCTGTCCCTCAGCAACCGGAGGGGTCTCCAAAGCCAGTCCCCGTCCACATGCACCAGCTTTGAGGACGTCACGCTCACGCAGAACGACTACGCCAAAAGCGCAGAATCCCTGGAGATCGCCCGTCTCTCGGAGGCACACGACGGGGAGGCCTCGTCGTCCGACAGCCTCCACGTGCAGGACAGTCAGGAGGGGACTCCGCGGCTCGGGAGGACGTCGTTGTGCAGCTCGCTCAACGGCGGATACAGCCACATAAGGAAAGAGCAACCAGATTTAAGGTAAGTCAATGGGTGGAGAGAGAGGGAGGGAGGGAGGGAGGGAGGGAGGGAGGGAGGGAGGGAAGAACCAGTTTTCCACCAGGGGGCGCCATGGGGAGCTAATGATGATTGGCTCCCACAGGTGCTGTTGGGGCGGTACTTAGATTGTCATGTTTGTTGTTTGATTCTGTGCCTTTCTATTTTTCTTCCCTCTGTTTCCATTGGCAGCTCCCTGTCTTCCCAGACTCACGGAAGCCCCTCGCCCGTCATCCACCCCAAGCTCTCCTCCCGGCCGCGGTCCCCCTCCGAGAGCCCCACGCCTTCCTCCCCATCCCGGACCCCTCAGCCTTCCCCTCTGCTTTCCATCCGCTCCTCTCGTTCCTACTCCCTCCCCCTGACCCCTGCCGAATCGCCTCAGATACCCGACGCCCGCCAGTCGCCCCCTCGCGCCCGCAGGAAGCCCCCGAGACCTGCCGCCACCGCCGCACAGGCCATCTCCTGCGAGGACCTGTCCTCCGCGGCCTCCCCGAGGGGCCTCGGGCGCCCCAACACCCCCATGGGGCGCGTGGACATTGCCCCCGGCGAGGGCCCTCCCAACAATCCCTATGCCACGCTGTCACCCGCCACCAGGGGGCGCACCCTGACGCCTGCTGACCGGTATGACGTGTTCCCCTCTTCCGAAGACCCCTATGGCAGGCGTTACGCCCGAAGCCCTCACCACAGCAGGGCCCGGCCCGTGGGCGAGGAAGGCCTGGCGCCCTCATTGGCAAGGCAGCTGCCGCCCAGCAGAGTAAGTAGAGGCTGCGGAAGCAGTGGGCATGGCGGCTCTGGGTTTGGGGCTTATCTTGGCTTTGATCCACCCCAGCGCTAACCTTTCCTTTCCTGCCAGTTTGCAGACCGAGGTTATCTCTCTCCGCCAGCTGGGACGTCCCGTGCTCTGGTCATGTCTCGGCTACATGGGCGACTGGTGAGTACCGGGGGCTGCGTTCTCCATCTTTCCCGTTCGCCATGGTCCTCCTCTCCCTGGCCTTCCTCTCCCTGTGACACGGAAACAAACGAGTCTGTTGGCTTGAATGTCTCTTTCCCTGCTCATGACCTGGGCTGTGTGTACCTTGTACTTAACGTTTCTGAAATCCTGAGCCAAAGGAGTCTCAATTCTGCAGCAGGAAAAGCTCGATTCCGCAACTTGCGTAAATTATGCAAATATTGAGCTACAAACTTGCTTCCTTTAAAAAATAAAAAGATTTTTTTCTTTCCTTTTTTTCTAGAAAGCTGCATTGTGCGGCCAATATTATATTGCGCAGTCTTTCTGTGCAATTTGTGGCATACCCTGTTTAGGGAAGTTTTTAATATTTGATGTTTTATTGTGTTTTTAATACTCAGTTGGGAGCCACCCAGAGTGGCTGGGGAAACCAGCCAGATGGGCGGGGTATGTATGTATGTATGTATGTAAATATATATATACATACATACTATTATTATTACTATTACTATTATTATTACAGTCATACCACATGTTACGGCTGCTTCAGGTTACGTGTTTTCGGGTTGCGGACCGCGGGAAACCCGGAAGTACCGGAACTGGTGACTTCCTGGTTTCGCCACTTCACGCATGCACAGAAGCGCCAAATCATGCCTGCGCAGACGCAGCACTTCAGGGTGCGAATGCTGCGAGTTGCGGATGTGCCTCCGTCACGGATTACGTCCACAAGCCAAGGTTCCACTGTATACCACACAGTCCTGCTCATGAGCTTCCCTGGCTACTCTCCCTAACACTTGCCTTCCCTTTCCCTACAGATCACCCCTCACTCTGCCTCCTCCAGCTACCTCCACCTACCACCCCTGCCCCCCCTGCCTAACCGGCCCACCCCTGGGAAAAGGACGTCTTTGGGAACCACGGTATGTGATTTCGTGCTTGATCCTCCCTTGAGTCTAGGACTTATCAAACGCTGGCTTAGCAAAAAGAATAGGCTGGCCAGGAAAGGACAGCAGCACATTCTCTGAGTTCTGTTTTAATACCAAATTGTCCTCCCGTCTGTAATGGTTAACACTGGGCTCCACCATTCCCCCCCCCCCCCGTTAGCTTAACATTGGATTGAACAGCCCCTGAAGTAGTTGGTCTTTGAAGCCATGGGCAACTTATCCTGATAAATACGCCCTCTTAATGCTGAACACTTAAATGTCTTGGGCATATTTAATTTTCTTTTTTTTAAAATATAGTTTTTATTATTTTTCCATTTAACAATATATAATCACATCATTATTATCCACTTTGCCGCTCTAGCTCTTTCTAGCCTATCAACTTCCTTCCCTCCCGCCTCATGATATAACCTTTATATCATACCACTTTATGCATTTTCCAATTCTAATTACACTCATTACAAAATACCTCAAAATTTAAGTAAATATAAAAAGGAAGAAAATTTCTCATTACAAGTCTTCAGACACCCCTGCTAGTGATTTCAATCGCTTACAATGATCTTTCAAATATTGTGTAAATTTACTCCAGTCCTTTTGAAATACTTGACTGTGCTGCTTTCGGATTCTTCCCTTCAGCTTCGCCAGTTCCGCAAAGTCCATCATTTTCACCTGCCACTCTTCTTTCGTTGGCACTTCTTGTTGTTTCCATTTTGGGGCTCAAAGAATTCTTGCTGCTGCTGTTGCATACATAAACAGTCTTTTATGGGCATATTTAACTGTCGTGGTGCAACAAGCTGGCGTTTCTCCTAGGAAACCATGTGGGAAGTTCGGGGGCTTATCCAGACATGCCTTTGCATCTTGTTCACACCAACCATTTCTCTGTCCTTCCAGTGCCGGACTCTGGTGCGAGAGAGGAGCATCCATTCTGCCGGGGGGCAGCGATTTGAAAGCGACACTGATGTACGCATTTCTGCTTCTTCTCATATCAAGGGTTCATTTGTGTGTTGTTGTTTTATTAAAAAAAACTTTAAAAATTATTTGCATCCAGCTTAGGAAGCATAGAGCATAAACATCACTTTGAGCAGGGGCAGGGGAACCTGTGGTCCTCCAGGTATTTGCTGGGCTCCAACTCCCACCAGAGATGATGGTAAAAAAGGTAAAAGGACCCCTGACCATTAGGTCCAGTCGTGACCGACTCTGGGGTTGCGGCGCTCATCTCGCTTTATTGGCCGAGGGAGCCGGCATACAGCTTCTGGGTCATGTGGCCAGCATGACTAAGCCACTTCTGACGAACCAGAGCAGCGCACGGAAATGCCGTTTACCTTCCCGCCAGAGCGGTACCTATATATCTACTTGCACTTTGGTGTGCTTTTGAACTGCTAGGTTGGCAGGAGCAGGGACCGAGCAACAGGAGCTCACCCTGTCGCGGGGATTCGAACCGCCGACCTTCTGATCGGCAAGCCCTAGGCTCTTGGTAGTTTAACAATATCAGGAGGGTCACAGGTCCCTGCATCCTTGACTTACGAGTAGATTGAGACATTCTTTCAGAAGAGGGAATGCCTCATTTATAAAACGGTGTTTGAAAGCTCATTTTTGAAATCTCTTGCAAAATAAGTAACAAACCTACTTCCAAGAAAACGGGGTTGGGATCCACTGTGGTGGTCACTGCAAAATAATTAACATTAAACTGGGTTGGAATCCACTGGAGGGTCACTGCTCAATGCTGAATTTACAGAGAGTTAGTCCTACAGCTTGTTTTATTGTCACCTGCACAGCTGTCAGGAACACCCCCAGATTTTTGCCACTTTCTGTTTACATTTTCAAGCAAAAACCAACTCGGAGAAGTGCCTCTCTTCTGACACACAACACACAAGGCTTTGTTTGAGACATTTTACTACACACTGAAATTGGCTGAAGGTGGAATAATTCCCCCCAATAAAACTGTGTGCATGGGTTTCATGCTGCAGCACGCCAGTTTTCTAACAGCATTAGAAGTCGCCTGGGGTTTTACAGGGTGGGAAATCACCCTGTAAAACTGGATGTGCCCAATGTTTTGTTGTCTTGGGTGAGGTCAGGAGAGTCAAAAAATAAAGTGCTTTTTCACACAGCGCACCGTTAGACTGTGGAACTCACTCCCACAAGAGGCAGCGAAGGCCACCAAGCTGGGATGTTTTAAAAAGAGGATTAGATACATTCATGGAGGGCAAAGCTATCAAGAGCTACTATCCCATGGGCAGAGTGCAGTTGTGCTCATGTCCTGCTTGTGGGTTTTATATGGCCTCATCCAGCTCTCCTTATGGTTTTTGTTGTTGTTGTTGTTGTTTTTAAATCTGTCTGAATTAATTTGGATCTCATTTTTAGTCCATTAAGAATTTGAGTTTATTAATTTAAACGATTAACTGACTGGCCTTTGGAACACTACATTGTTAATAGCATAACCCATTTCTGATTTGGAATCTCTCAGAAAGAAAAAAAAAGAATCTCACCAAGGCTGTCTTAAGCATATGTGGCGCTGGGGTGCAAAGATCCGCCCAGTGGCCCCCTCTCCAGGTTGCCCAGTCCCAGGCGTGCCGGATGGCAGAGCCAGCCGGCCGCCTCAGCGTCTTGCTGGCTCGGTCACCCCCGAACTCGCGGCGCAGAGCTGCCCGCAGCAGGAGAGCTCGCTGCGGCACTCTGACTGACGGGCGGGCTCTTCCTCGGGTCCCGGACTCTCGGCCTGGCACCCCTGAGAGCCTGGCGCTCTCACAACACGATGCCAAACATTTGTCCCAAAGTGGGTTTGCCTGCTTTTATAAAGCCATTATTGTATGTATTATTGTATGTATTATTGTATGTGCCGCAGCACCTTCTGGTGGCTTCTCTTAGAATTGCACCCCCCCTCTCTTTTTAGGCTCTCTTGACAAAACTTTGCGGCCAGGACAAGGTGCTTCGTGGTCTTGAAGAGGACACGGCACAGCTCCGGGCAGAAAAGGTATGTCTTACTTTACCCCCTTTTCCTCTCTCCTTTACTCCTGCTATTAAACCAGCCATCTGATTTATTTTGGCTTAAGTTGAAATGGCTGGCCCCCCCTTTTTTTTACAGGAGCGGATTGAGAAAGCCTTGGAGGTGACACGCCTGAGGCTGGAGGAGTTTAAAGGCCAAGACGCCACGATGGAGAAAATCTGCTACCAGCAGAGGCAGCTGCAAGACGAACTGGTGCAAACCCGAGCTCGCCTCTGTGATCTAGCGCTGGTGAGCTGCTTTTATTCCCATGCTGGGAACCTGAGCTGAGAAAACATTGTACAGAGGTACCTCAGGTTAAGAACTTAATTCATTCTGGAGGTCTGTTCTTAACCTGAAACTGTTCTTATCCTGAGGTACCACTTTAGCTAATGGGGCCTCCCACTGCCGCTGCACAATTTCTGTTCTCATCCTGAAGCAAAGTTCTTAACCTGAGGTGCTATTTCTGGGTTAGCGGAGTCTGTAACCTGAAGCGTACGTAACCCAAGGTACCACTGTAGCTAGGGGCAAAGGAAGGGGGCTGCGGTGGGGGTGGATTGCCCCGGGTGCCACCACTGAGGGGGGATGACAAAATGCCAGGCGGCACCACGGGGTCTGCAGCGCACCCAAGCCACACATCTGTCCTGGGAGAGACACAGTGGCTTAGGCTCCACACTGCCCAAACGGTCTGCCCACCGCCTCCCCCCTCAGCTGTAGGGCGGCTGAGTGGAGGAGGCAGACAGACTCCTTGGAGGCCCCACGGAGCGTCCTGCCCCAGCTGGCCCCACCCCTGGGCACAGGGCACACACGCCGCCCCAGGCGCCCAATCGGCTTGCTCCGCCGCTGACTGTAGCCATAACCCCCGAAGCTTAGGTTGAAGGGCTGTGTTGAGATAGCGATGGGATGCTCACAGTAGCTGTGCAGTGACTAGTTCTCGGTTAAAAAGGTAAAGGCACCCCTGACCATTAGGTCCAGTCATGGCCGACTCCGGGGTTGCGGCGCTCATCTCGCTTTATAGGCCGAGGGAGCCGGCGTACAGCTTCCGGGTCATGTGGCCAGCATGACTAAGCCGCTTCTGGCGAACCAGAGCAGCGCACGGAAACACTGTTTACCTTCCCGCCGGAGCGGTACCTATTTATCTACTTGCACTTTGACGTGCTTTCAAACTGCTAGGTTGGCAGGAGCTGGGACTGAGCAACGGGAGCTCACCCCGTTGCGGGGATTCGAACCGCCGACCTTCTGATCAGCAAATCCTAGGCTCTGTCGTTTAACCCACAGCACCACCCGCGTCCCAGTTCTCGGTTAGTTCTCAGTTAATACTACAGATCAGAGATGAGGTAGAGGCTCCTTTCGGTTCCCCGTCAAAATTCCTCCAAGTTGCAGCAAAAGTCAATCTACTTAAATTGCCCCCTCTCACCTCCTTCAAAGCCAAATTGAGAACCTGGTCGCATGAGGAAGTCTCCTACCCCAAGTGCCTTGCATACAGACTGGTTGGACTTTTAAGACTTTTTTTCGCACCTGAAGTTGACCCAGCGTAGAGCAGGGACTCCTGCCTTTGACGCTAACTTTTTTCTTTCAAGCCCCTCAGCCACAATGCTCAGGCAACACCCTCCCACTGGGGATACACAGCAACATTTTGTTGCTGTGCCTGCTTTTCCTTTCTATTCGACCAATGTTCAAAGGTGCATGCCCGATACTTAGAGGGCCAGAACCTCTGTGCACAAGAAGCAGCAGGCTTACAGAGACCCCCAAGTTTACAGAAGTACAAAAAAACTTTGGGAGGTGGGAAAAATAAATGCATATTGCGGGCACCCTCAAGATAACCCAACAAGGACTGAGAATGCCCAGTGGCCACTGACTGCTGAGTGACTATTGTTGTTGTTAGGGGGCAGTTGCGCACAGAACGGTGGGTGGGAATGGATGGGAGCACTCCATACTGCAACATTTTGTTGCAGATCCTGTGTGTGTGTTGTTAAAATATTAGGCAGGAGGCATTGAAAACAGCATCCTTCACCTTAAGCTGTATAGCCCACCCAGGATTCTACGACCTCATTCTGCAGCAGGGGTTTACCAGGCCTTATCTGCAGTGAATCAGCACTTCATAAGGGATCTGGATAAGCCGCTGAGCCTTTGTTCTTCCCCAACTCAGGACAGTGAACGAGCGTGGGAGGATTACGCCGCCTTGGAAAATGACCTGCAGATGGTGAAGGGTTCCTTGGAGCATATCCGGACTGTGGGGCACCCCCAGGTATGTGCTCCCCATTTCCAAACCTCTCCCTACCACTTTTTTGTGGTACTTTGCAAGCATTCGGGCTGTGCATAGTTGCTGCAAAAAAGTGACAAAACTCCAAATTCTGTACTCTGAGAAGTCAGGTTTTGTGATCTGAGCACTTTGTGCAAATGAAGACAATTTTGTCAACCGTCCATATACACACACACACACACACACACACACACACACATATATATATTCTGCTTTTCAAATTTATTTCTTTTTTTCTGCTGGGTGGGTGGGAAAATGAGCTGCCCACCAAATATTAAAGTCCTCCTCTTCTGATCTGTGGAAATCCACCTCAGTCTTCGTCCTGGCCCTGTATTTTCTGGGATTCACATCTCATGTTTATGTCTGCTGCCGCCACATGGGCTAAAAACGTATTCAAAAATAATAACAAATGATAAAAGGCATTCTTGATTCCGTGCTTCGTAACTGCAACCTGCTCAGTAGTTGGTGAAATAATCCAACCCCAAAATGGTCTTCCTCAGATATAAATGGCAGGGTTGAGATTGCGGAATCGCTGCTAGATTGAGCTCATGGCTCTGATCTGGAGGTAGTGTGGGTTGGGAGGTGGTGGAAACATGTTACCCCAGGCCCACAGTTCAGTGGCAGAGCATCTGTTTTGCATGCACAAGGACCCAGGTTCTGCCCCTGGCATCTCCAGGTAGGACTAAGAAAAACCCCTACCTGAACCCTTGAAGCAAAGGAGAGAAAGGCCACGCCTCCTCTCCCCAGGCCACACCCCTTACCAGACCTGTGTTGCTGAGCTGGGAATGGAAAAGTCCCGCCCTGACCCCCCCCCCTGCCCTGGTGTCAACAATCCTGAGCTATGCAGGTTGATGGCCTGGCTTGGTGGAAGACAGCTTTCTATCTTTCTGCACTAATTCCTGTTGCCTCCACCTGTCTGATCCTTTCATCCTTAGGACCAAGTAGCTGCCCAGCAAGATTTGTGGAGGATCCACGACATTCTGGCAGGACTGAGATCCAGCCCAGCCAACCACCACGCCCTAGAAAGCAGAAGATCAGGTGCTGGACGCAATACTGTCCTAGGAGCTGGCAGCCCAAGAGGAGGAGGAGGAGGGAGGGAGGGGGGATATTTAGCAGGTGTTGCCCCTTATGAGTCCTCGTTTGTAACATCTGAACCTCTCCATTGCAGGTGTGTCTCCAGCTACCACCCCAACTCTGGATTCTCATCTGGGTCCAAGCCACACACCCCAGCAGCTTTGTGCAGGAATGGAGGTATGGGGTTGGTCTCTGAGTTCAAATGGCACAGTGGCTTCACCATCGAGACCTTGGGCTTAAAGCACTTTGAAGTTAGGGGTTCTGTGTTTTAATTGTGGGTGTTTTTGTATTTCAATATTGGTGCCCCTGCTTTTGGTAAGCTACTTAGAAGCCCATTTGGGCATTAAACACTCTCTCTCTCTCTCTCTCTCTCTCTCTCTCTCTCTCTCTCTCTCTGTGTGTGTGTGTGTGTGTGTTTATGTACTTACTTTATGGCTAGATAAATACAGTCATACCTCATGTTACATTTGCTTCAGGTTAAGCGTTTTCAGGTTGTGTCCTGCGGCGACCTGGAAGGGTTACTTCCGGGTTTCGCTGCTCGCGCATGCACAGATGCGCAAAATGATATCACACACATGCGTAGAAGTGGCGAATCGCAACCTGCACATGCGCAGACGCACAGATGCGAGTTGCGTTCTTTTCAGGTTGTGAATGGGCCTCCGGAACGAATCCCGTTCACAACCAGAGGTACGACTGTAATATTTATTTCATGTACACAGCTTCATTGTAAAGACAAGCTCAAAGCAGTTTACAAAAAGCAACTGACAACAACAATTTAAAACTTTCATAAGTTAAAACAGCCGTAGACTAAAAACGGACTTAAACTTGCATCAGCAATCTGGGTAGGCTTGTCTAAACAAGATTCTATTTAACAGGTGCTGAAAAGAGAATAGTGAAAGTACCCGCCTGATAGCTATCTATAGCACACACGCACACAGGCAGACTAAGGATGCATCACTAATAATGTTCACTCTTTTTCTATGGGCGCCCGAAGGAGTTTGAATCATCTCCTCCTCCCAAATCCACCCTCTCCTTCCACGAATCCACCACCAGCCACTTGCCAGCCACAGTGGGCCAGCTGGACAGCCCTCGGGCAGCGAATCCGCCTGTAAGTTTCTACCCCAACAGCATCCTCAGTTCCCTCCTTGCAGCCATGCCCACTTTCTCTTGGCAGCGACTGAGGTTCACTGACGTTGTCTTCTTTGCCGGCAGAGTCCACCTGCTTCCTGCAGAGGGCAACAGGGGTCATCACGGCAGTCGGATGCCACCAGGCGGCCTCAATACAATTCCTCCGGCGAGCCCGCAGAGTCCGAGAAAGTGAGGGCAAAGGATGGGGTTGGTCCAGGTGAGTGAGATGCGGGAGGAACACGGATTTACATATAAGCTAAACAAGCTATAGCTTAGGGCCCCACTCTCTTGGGGGCCCTCAGAAAATTTAAAGAAAAAAAATGGATGTACATTTCCAAAATATAAGATAAACAAACAAATAAAATAAAACCTACATACAACAACAGTGTTTTGTGTTGTGTAGGCTCCTATGATGTAAGCCTGCTCCCCTGCTCCCTAAAATATCACTGGTTTGCTCATTTCTATATATAGGGTGCCTACATTCTGCATGGACTGGTTGCATGGCAAATGGCTTTAGATACCTATTAGGTCCATAAATTACCACACAGCATATATTCAACACAAAAAACAGCGACAATTTGTTGTTGACAAAGGACAGCTGGACATATAGGTAAAGGTAAAGGGACCCCTGACCAGTCGTCAGGTCCAGTCGTGGCCGACTTTGGGGTTGTGGCGCTCATCTCGCTTTATTGGCTGAGGGAGTCAGCGTACAGCTTCCGGGTCATGTGGCCAGAATGACTAAGCCGCTTCTGGCGAACCAGAGCAGCACACGGAAACGCCGTTTACCTTCCAGCCAGACCTATTCATCTACTTGCACTTTGACGTGCTTTAGAACTGCTAGGTTGGCAGGAGCAGGGACCGAGCAACGGGAGCTCACCCCGTCGCAGGGATTCGAACCGCCGACCTTCTGATCGGCAAGTCCTAGGCTCTGTGGTTTAACCCACAGAGCCACTCGCGTCCCAGCTGGACATATAAAGGGCCCCATTACCTTCAGTAGCCTCATCAAACCTAAATCTGGCCCTGCACACATACAGGGTGCCTTCTCAGGTCTCAAGTTTCAGTGTGGGTTTACTTGGGTAGTTGGCATTTGCTTCTTAACCCAGGGTCTGTTTTGGGCGCTTCTGGTTAGTGAGAAAGGCGGATCCCTTCATTCTTTTCACAGCTTTAGTTGTGAAACTTTGGATGCTTTAGTTGAGATTGGACTAGATGACCCTCGGTGTCCCTTCCAAGCCTCCCGATTCTATAATTCTATGAACTTTTACTTCCCTTTTGAATTACCCACCATTCCCTTTCCCCGCCCACTTTCAGAGTGCTGCTTTCCCATTGGTCAAGCAAGGATTCCGCCATTGGTGCTTGCCATTGGTGGCTTAACCTGCCCTGATCTTGCCACAGAGTGTGATGCATAAGAGCAGCCTTTTGAGTTGTGTTGAGGGCCTATCCCTGCCAGGACAGAGGTGGGAACTAGGAGAGAGAAGCAGAAAACTTGGTTCTGCACCCTCCGAATGAATGCTCTGTCTCCCTCCTCCTTCGCAGATCACGGGAGCCACATCAGCAAACTCTGTGAAGACACTGAGCACAGCATAATCAAGGTATGCGGAGGACCCTCAGAATCATGGCAGCAGAAAATCTATGCATTGCAGGGGTGTGGTGCCCCTCCAGATCTTGTTGGACTACAACTCCCATCATCCCTGTCCATTGGCTGGGCTAGGCTGTCTGGAGTTGATGGAAGTTGGAGTCCAAGCCCCTCTGAAGGGCACTGTGTTGGCTATCCCTGTTCTAGTGCACGACAGGGGAAAGGAAGGATTTGTTTTATTACTTATTAATATATTTATGCTCTGCTTTCCATAAAAATACAATTTAAGCTTCGCGGCTCCTGTTGAAACTGGAGTGGCTAATCGACATCTTGCAGGTGGGTGGGTCTGATCCAGGCCCCCAAGCAATACCCCGGGCCTGACTCTTACCTATTTCAACAGGCAGGAACCACCAAGGAAAGAAGGCTCAGAGCCAGGGGCTTAGCAGTGGGGTGGTGATGATGAGTGGGCAGAGGGAGAAGCCTGGGAAGAAGAGGGGGAGAGAAGTTCAGAATCAGATGCTGAAGCGGGAGAGGAGTCCTGCTGTTGTAGAAGCCAGGGTGTCTCCCCCTCCTGCTGCAAAAAATAAAATAAAAATCCCTCCTCCCTGGTCTCCCAGAACCAGGAGAGGCATTAAGAGGGAGGAAGAGAGGTTGGCTTCATGCAGGCGCCGTCTCTGATTGCTTGGGGAAAGCCCTGGAGAGGAAGGAACTAATGGCTGGATGAGGTGGGGACTTTCACTCTCGGCAACTGACCAACCGGGCGGGGGGGGGGAGCTGCTATGATCATTAGGCCTGAGACTCAGGCAAGACTGTGCAGATCGTGTTCTTGCTAATAACTTCAACGGTGTGATATACTGCCAGCTCGCTCCTGAGAACGGATAAGAAGGGAGGCCTCTAGGACTCTTGGGGTGTACCACGTACACTTCAGAGGCTGTCCAGGATGGCATGATGCTGTGAGAGAATGCCAGCATGGCTGGACACTGGCAGTAGCATAGCAGCAGTTGTTGAAAGCAAAATCCCATTTGTGGCAAAGGGAGGGATCCAGAGGCAGGTGTTGTGTTCTGGTCTGATGCTGGATCCCACACAAAGCAGCAAGGCTGCCAGACCAGATAGCTCCCAGTGAGCAGCTTGCTCTGACAAAGGTTGGGAGCAGGCTGAGGCCTTGTGAGTCCCGCAGTCTGCTCGGGGGGCTGATCCTGACTCAGTTCCCTCCTGGTGCCCCTGCTGCCTCCGACTCTGGCTCACTGCTAGATTCAGGGGTCATGAATCTCAGGGTCGTGACTGAGGTCAGGTATCATGAACGAGGGCCACTGGTCGGCACCATCTCCTAACCCCTGATCTTGTGTCACGTCTAGGTCGTCCCCACAGAAGCGGTCGCCTCTCGCCGGCCTCGCATGAGTGCCCAGGAGCAGCTGGACCGGATGCAGCGGAACCAGGAGGCCAAAAGGAAATCGGAGGCCGCCCAGCCAAACGCTCTGGGCCACTGGCGAGACTCTCTCAAGCGCGGGTCCAGCCGGGTGGGTGAGAAGCCTTTCGGAGGGGGGCACCCTGCGCTCAGTGGGGAGGGGCCAAGAGGCAAGGGCGAGGTCTCCGCCATCTCCTACAGGGAGGCCCCGCGTCCTTGACCCTGGATGTCTCGGGACAAGGGGTGGGGGTATGGTCAGAAGGACAGGTGTCTGGGGGGGAGGAGGGGAGCTGCATCCAGTGGGCAGTGCTTGAGGGGCTGGGTTCCTCATTTTTCCTGCTGGGGAACAGGTGGGTAATGTGGCTGGGAAACAGATACAGTGGTACCTCTGGTTACATACTTAATTCGTTCTGGAGGTCCGTTCTTAACCTGAAACTGTTCTTAACCTGAAGCACCACTTTAGCTAATGGGGCCTCCTGCTGCAGCCGCACCACTGCTGTGCGATTTCTGTTCTCATCCTGAAGCAAAGGTACTGTTTCTGGGTTAGCGGAGTCTGTAACCTGAAGCGTATGTAACCCGAGGTACCACTGTATACCTTTGAGTTCTGTAAGAGGGAGAGGGAAGTCTCATCACAGCTGGAGCATGGAAGAGGAAAGCCAGGACTCCTGGGTTCGGGTGGGGGGGCTTGGAAGGGCTGGAGCTCCTCCGGCAGTGGTGTGAGATGCCATGACTCTGGCCAAAGAAAGGCTGAAATCAGGGACTCCTCCTATTTTATGCAGCAAAATGGGATTGTGTGTGTGTGTGTGTGTGTGTGTGTTTTAGAAGAGTCATCCACATCTTTAATTAAAACCACAGGGAAGGTTATTATTTTCATGGCGTGCTTAAGTTCCAATTTGGGTTGGTGAACGAGGGGACATGCTCTGACCTAAGGGGGCCGGTGGGGCCAGAACAGCCTTGTTCATGCCCCGTTCCCCTTCCCCATGATTTAATCTCTCCTTCAGCCCCTCCCCAATACCCCCCCTGAGCCATCACCCAAGGAGGGCGTGCAAACTGGGGGACTCAAGCCTCCTCGGTGCCCCCCGACCCCTGAGTGGGAGCGACAGCGAGTAATCCAGCTCTCCTACGCCCTGGCGACAGAGGCTTCGCAGCAGCGGGGGAAGCGCATCGCAGGTACTGGAGAGGCAGTGGTGGCTTTGCAGGGTCTGTGGGACGGGAGGGTCAGGTAGTCAGGGGGTGGGACTCAAATCTATTTGTCTGAAACATTTCTATTCTTTCTTTCTCAATTCTCAAACTCCCTTCCCCCCCCCCCAAAAAACCCCATCTTCCAGCTGCTGCTGGGCCTGATGGTGTCCCTGCCACAAGCAACAACAGCAGCAAATGCTAAGCAGCCCACTCTATAATATATATGCCAATATCTCCCGTTTGCTGTGTACAGAATTCACGTGTCCATGTGGTTGATGAGAATTCTTAATGTCGTCTTTCTCCCCAGGAAGGACCAGCTCTCACTCCTCCCTAGACGATATCCCTGTGTCCCATGAAAGCCTGAACCATCACGGCCTCCCCGGTGACAGCCCCTCCAAAGAGCCAGAGCTCCGTGGACCTCTGCTATCTGAGCATGACCAAACAGCTGCTCGGAACTCAAGCTGCCACGATAACTCCAGAACGGCGAATCAGGGGCCACCCCATGCAACCAATCGAGTGCCGGGTGCTTCAGAAGCATCCGATTGGCCGCCACCTCCTCTTCCCAAGGAGGCGGGCCATTTAAAGCCCAAGACTCTGCAGTTGGAGTCGCACCTGCTGGAACCAGCCAATGAAGAGCTGCCCCTGGTCAGTGGTCCTCCCTGGGCGGCGCCTTTGCCTCAGCCAACCAGCCAGCACCTGTCTATCTCTAGAACAGCCAATTGGGCATCTGAGCAAAGCCTCATGGGCGGGCAGGGTGCAGCCAATGGTAGGTGCCTTAAGTGGAGAGGCGAGAGCCAGTCCCGCCATGTGGTGGCCTGCCTTGGCGAGACGGCGCAGCCTGTCAGGGTCACCCTGGTAAAATCCAGCTTTTAGCTCCAGAGGGTGGAGGACCAGGATTGAGGGGGGGGGGGGTGAGGAAGCCCTGCTGCCTGGCTCCATCTTTCTCTAACAAGGACAGGGCAGAAGAATAAGTTCAGTCCCATAGAGTTGGCAGGCTCAGAGCGACCGTTTCCATAGGAACATGAGAAGCTGCCTTATAACAAGTCATGCCATTGGTCCACCTAGCTCAGTACTGTCTACACTGATTGGCAGCGGCTCTCCTGCATTTCAGGCAGGGAGTCTTTGCCAGCCCTATCTGGAAATGCCGAGGATTGAACCTGGAAACTTCTGCATAGAAAGCAGATGCCATATCACTAAGCATCTCTTCCACTCCTTTTTTTGTAACTCTCCAACCCTAGATAGCATCATTTAAAAACAAACAAAAAAACTTGTTATAAATCCCAGGGGTCAGAACTGCAACACACATACACCCTGCTCAAAGCGCATGCATTCACTTATATATGAACATGTTACACGTGTCTTTGCGCACAAGGGCACGAGTCTGGCAAGATGCACCATTCCATCGCTATCACGCTGACTTGCACACACAAGTTTAGGAGAGTATCTTCGACAGGGTTCATTGCTCTCGTCTCCTCCAACCACATTTGCAGGATGAGAGTGGTGGGGGACTTATATAATGGCATGACTGTGGAAGCACAGCAGGGATATGGGGGTCCTGAATTCAAATCCCTGAGGCAGAGTTCTCAGTTGTTCCCAGTTTGCCTCAGGAGACCGTGCCTGAGATCAAGCTACTTGCCCAGGTCTCTACAATGAGTTGGTGGCAGAGATGCTTCCCTTAATGCTGTTCTGGACTACAGCTCCCATCTGCCCCAGCACCATGCTTCTGGCTGGGGTAGATGGGAATTGTAGTCCAAAACAGCTGGAGGGCATCAGGTTGGAGAATGCTGCTCTGGGACGTGGCAGGTGCAGATATTTATTTAGCCCTTCCCAGGGAGAAGGCCGGGGGGGGAGATTTTTCCTAAAGAAATGAAGCATCTGCGCTTACAGATGCATAACTGCTAGTTTATGATAGGAAACACACACTCAGGCGGCCATATCCATTCATGCCCGTCTTGACACCCTGTTTGCTCCCATCAGGGGAGCCAACTTGAATAAAATATTGTGGGGGCCCAGGTAAGCCCCGCCCCACATAATCGGTCAAATGATGCAATGCTCACACCATTTGAATGGGAATGCCAATCAACTTTGTTGGGGCCTGCCCCCCTCAAATATTTTAATGTGAGGGCTGAAGCCCCCACAGCTCCTAGGAGTTGGCTCCTATGGCTCCCACAGATTCACATCCACCCAAGCCTATTCCTTGAGGCACCCAATACGGCTAGAGTGCCTTGCTCCATGCAAATTCAGCTCTGCAGCTTAAGAACTTCAGAAGTTTCTAGCCTACAAAGATGGTTTAGGGTTCTTGCTCACAAACGCCTGTGGTCCTCATCAGTGCAGACTGATTGTCATCTTGAAAGAAAGACAACCAACTCTTTTCTTCCAGTTTACCTTTCCTAGTTGCCTGGAGGTGTTTAGTAATCGCCACAGGCGATCAGAGAGAGAAGGGGCTTTGTAAAAGCCTGTGCTTTTGCCTTTTGCAAGGCCAGTGAATTTAGAGGGCAAGGTGAACATCTAGGCAGGCAGAGCAGCTCCCCCTGAAGACGAGTAGGAAACAGCAGGTTCATGGGTCTAGGGAAATCTGGTTTTCCAGCATTTATTAAGCTATATTTGCACAGGCCCTCCTTAACGGCAGGTGTTCAGGGTTTCCTCTGCCCTGGTTGTCTGTAAGAGGCTTTTCGAATGCTCCCAGGCCCTTAGGTTGTATATTGGGCCAGGGTTTGTTTTTTAAGAAAAAGCACATGCCAGCAATCTCCCCCCCTCCGCAAATAGTGAATGCATCCTCTGCCTCTGGGTGATTCAAGTTCTTAGAATTGTACAATGTTGGGTGGGGAGAAATGAAGGTGTCTGTTGTTGGAATGTGTGCATTAGGGGAAAAGAAGGGAAAGCAGAACGTGAATAGCTTTAAAAGAGGATCAGACAGATTCACAGAGGAGACAGCTATCTTATGGCTACTAGGCATGAAATCTAAGCTTTGCCTCCAGTCAAAGACAGTGATACTTCTGAATGCCAATGGCTGGAAAGGGGTGGAGAGTGCTGTGTCACTCACAGGCTTCCGGTTGGTCACTGTGAGAACGGGATGCTGAACTGGCTGGGACACTGGGCTGATCCAGCCGGGCTCTTCTCATGTATTTGTGGAAGGGGAACGGTTGGCTGAAGGCAGTGATGTGAAGGGCACCGTGGAACGCCTATCCAAGCCAACGCAGAGGGTGGTGTATGAAGGTTGAAAAATGCCTGCTTAAAACGCAGCCCTCACTTTTATGCCAGGGCAGCCAAGATTTGGCAAGGGTTAGGTAAGTGTGGCAGTGTGGGCTGCACAAAGCTAGGCAAGGGCATATCCTGGAACAAAATTGCTTGTTGGATAGGCAGAGAGAGAGACGCAGCTCATAGGGAAAGGAGAATCGATTGGGCGAGGTGATGGGGGGAAGGGGAAACTGCAAGGGAAGAAGAGGGGTTGTATCAGAGGAGAAACAGTGGGGAGAGGGACACTGGCTGCTGCAGAATTTGGAAGGGGGGCAGGGGATTTCAGTTGCTGAGGTGCCCAGATAAGGTGCCCTGCCAATGCAGAATGGGTTAACTGGTGAATCGTAGCCCTAGTGCACAGGTCCATTGCTCTGCCAAGGAGCCCTGGCCCCAACACCAGCTCTGTTGCCAGGCTTGTAGCCCCACCAAGAAATGCAATCCGTAACGTTCCTGGATGGAGACTTTGGCACGGCGAATTAACAAGCGGAAACCCAAAATCAGAACTGCGAAAGCAAAACGCTGCGACCCTGGGCCTGCCCCGGGGAGCTCAAGGGACGCCGGAGCGATGCAGCTTAAATGAGGGATCCCTGCGGTTACACCCACCTGCACGTCTGCCAAGGCAACTGCTGCATCTCAGCGCTTGGGGGGGCGGGAGAGGATTCCCTCTACGAAGACTTGCTTCTTCCCCAAAGGAGGCAGCTTCCACCTCCCTTTGCATTTTAACACTAGCGGCTGCCTGCTCCCCACGTGTGAAAGATTCCAGTTCGTATACTCAATAAAAGATTAACACAATATACATCCCGGAGTCTGCCTGATATATTTATTCCAAGGCCCAGTCTTTATGCTACCATGCTGAAATTCACTTTGAGCGATAATTTAAATGCAGAGGAGTGACAGATGCAGGACAGGGACAGGGAACCTGTGGCCAGGTGGACTACAACTCCCAGCGTCCCTGGGCTTAGTTTCTATGGATTATTGAAACTGCCAGCCCTCCAGGTGCAGTAGAGCTACAACTCCCATCAGCACCAGCCAGCACAGCCAATGGGCACACCCCTGCAACACTGATCTGTTAAGGGGCAGGAGGGGGTCCTGCAGGGAACTTTTGGGTGCTCCTTTTCCATTGAAAAGGGACGCGGGTGGCGCTGTGGGTAAAAGCCTCAGCGCCTAGGGCTTGCCAATCGAAAGGTCGGCGGTTCAAATCCCCGCGGCGGGGTGCGCTCCCGTTGCACGGTCCCCGCGCCTGCCAACCTAGCAGTTCGAAAGCACCCCCGGGTGCAAGTAGATAAATAGGGACCGCTTTCTAGCGGGAAGGTAAATGGCGTTTCCGTGTGCGGCTCTGGCTCCCCAGAGCAGCGATGTCACGCTGGCCACGTGACCCGGAAGTGTCTCCGGACAGCGCTGGCCCCCAGCCTCTTGAGTGAGATGGGCGCACAACCCTAGAGTCTGTCAAGACTGGCCCGTACGGGCAGGGGTACCTTTACCTTTACCTTTCCATTGAAAATCCTGGGCCTGCGACTGAAAACAAGCAACAGAGCTAAGCACCTCTTTAACCTGGCATACCAGGCCGTGTTCAGGTCAGCCATTTGGTGCGTCAGAGGGGAGAAGGAATCAGGCCATTAGAGGGTGTGTTTCAACCACAAAACAATTGTGATCTGTGCTCAGGATGTAATGGGGCAGTTAGGCATGACTGTTCTTTCAATGGCCATTTGCACCTGCAAAACATAACCAGTTGATATCCTACTGACATCCTGTAATTTTCCCGTACTGCAAGCCGCCTGCTTTTTGTCATCTTTTCCCCTCTTTTTGGTCTTGTTTCTGCTGTACTATAGCAGAAGAGTGCCCCTCCCGCTTCAGCCATGAAACTCAACCAGGTGACCTTGGGCCAGTCCCTGCCTCTTAGCCCACCCCACCTCACAAGGTTGTTGTGAGGATAAAATAGGCAAGCGGGAAACCACCTTGGAGAAAAGGTGAGGAAAAGAAAACAGATGCTCACTAGATTAGCCAAGCCCCTGCGCAAGGATGACACACAAATCCGTGAAGCGTCCCATAATTTAAAAAAGAATAGAATAGGAGAAAAGGTAAAAAAATAGAAAAATGGATTGATATATGGATGGTCCAGTATGGATCCACTAACGCCCTGTACATCCATAATAATACACCTGCAAAAAAAATATACATTATTGTATATTCTACCAAACAAGATGCTGCCTGACCCTGTCCACGTTTACTTGGAAGCAGGGCCGGATTTAGGTTTGATGAAGCTTTAAGCTACTGAAGGTAATTGGGCCCTTTATATGTCCAGCTGTCCTTTGTCAACAACAAATTGTCGCTGTTTTTTTGTGTTGAATACATGCTATACGGCAATTTATTATTGTTAGGTTATAAGTAAATCCAGCACTGCTTGGAAGTAAAAAGTGTTGTTTAGAATCACAACCGTGGACAGTGAACCTGGATTTTACGCCTGCTTGCTCCAAAGTGCAGTCATTTGCACTTGCAACCCTGATTGCACTTACGTGGGAGTAAGCCCCACTGAATTCAACGGAGCTTACTTTTGTGTAGACTGCAGTCCTAGCTCTCTAACTATATTCATAGGATTGCAACCTTAAACGCACCCCCACCCCCACACACAGGAAATACGCGCTTATTTAGGAGTTTGAGTAAGCTTGCGCAGGATCAGGCTGCACCGAATACGAGAACGAACCGCAGGAGCAAGGACTGCATTTCCCAGCATGCCCGGAGACACAGAGCATGCGCAATGGACGAAACCACATGTTGCCTCGTCTGCGTCCAAAGTTCAGCTGGATGTTCGTGATTTGGAGGAGCCGCGACAACATCTGGAATGGCAACTGGGCTGCGGTACCCGGGCAAGGTCGTCATAGTAACGGGGGGCACGCGGGGTATTGGCGAAGGCATCGTGAGAGAATTTGGTGAGGGTGGAGGGAACCGGGGGAGCGGGTTGGGGGCAAAGGAGTTTCTACAAATAAGTGCCGGGGCTCAAATATGCCTGGAAGACTGACCTGGAAACCTTGTTCCCCAATCTGTATGTGTTGAGATCGGAGAGGGACTGGATAAAGTTGCTTCTGATAGGAATGTGTTCTGCAGGAGCTCAGAGGCGATGCTGGCGTTATTGCAAAACCGAAAGTTTTTGGACATAGTTGAGGCAGGGCAAAGAACATTTCCTAGCTTCAGTTCCCAGCATCTCCAAGGCTGGGAGAGAGACCCCTCCCAGTCATTGTGGACAATACTGAGCTAGATGGACCAATGTGTTTGTAAAGACCATCGGATGTACTGTATTGCTGTCGTGGGCACACCCTGCATCCATAAGGCTTCTAGCACACAGCAGCTTATGCACATAGCACACAGAACAATACATTTTGGTGAGACTTTAAGATGCCTCACTCAGAAGGACTCTGGACTGACCCTTCTCTGTAATGTTGTTTTTTACTGCATGGGTCAGTGTTGAGCGCTTGAACTGAAAACAGGAACTGGTGCCCGGACATGAGCTCTTCTTTTTCAGAAATAGGGAGGTGGGGGAAAGGGGAACGTGTTGTTGAAGCAATTTCAGTCTCCCTACCAGGAAATGCAGGGCATGCTGACTTTGCTGTGAAGCTCTTAAAGTGGAAAAGAGGAATGTGTAGCTCCTCCAGATGTCACAGAACTACAGTTTCCATTATCCCTGGTCATTTCTGGTGGGAGCCTCTCCACCCCTGTGTTAAAGGCACAAAGTTCTGCCTTTGTGGCCTTAGGTAGAGAATCTTCCTCCTAATTTTGCCCTCTCACATGTAGGACTGACAAAATATGCATATTTCAAAGAACAAGGTGGATATCTTTTAGGATTTCTGTACATATGTGGCTTTACTTGGTGATTTTCCACCTGTAACTCGCCACTGTTAATGGCCAGAGCCTAGGGGGTTGGATGGTAAGGCTTAATCTGAAGTTTAAGACAGGTTGAGCAGCCGAAAAAGGAGCATCTGGCTCTGATTGCCTAGGAAGCATAAGAAAAGCTTGTTTTGCTGACATGAAAACATGAATCTTGTGGCACCTGAAACACTAGAAGATTCATCATGGCATCAACATGGACTACAATCTCTTTCATCAGATGCCTGAAATTATATCTTTGGTTGGTAGGCTTTTGCTGGAGGGGAAGTAAGTGTGGAATGCAAACAGGGAACAAAAGGAGTAATTAAATTAAGAGTTTGTGACAGGTAGGCATGCAACTGACCTTCTTTCGCATCCCCTTTTTGGGGATAGGCATATGTTGAATATCTGCTTGTCACTAAAGGCAGGGAGTCTCTGACAGGATGCAAAAAGACAAGAATCTGAGTTCCAAATCAGTTCATATGTTTCGCGGCCAGTCATCAGTAGTGCAGTACTCAAAGGCGTTTGTGATGCATGCGGAAGGTCCAGTTTCTGTCTTCCCAGTTCAGGCTTGGAAAGACCCCTGTCTGTCAGCTGGTGTAGGTCAGTGGTTCTCAAAGGGTGTGGCGGGTAGAATGGCAAGTGTGACAGGAAGATGCAAGGACAAAGAAACATTTAAGCATTTCAGTATAGTGTAATACAGTCGTATCTTGGCTTTCGAACAGAATGCATTCTAGAAGTCAGTTCGACTTCAGAAATGTTTGGAAACTAAGGCGCAGCTTCCGATTGGCTGCAGGAGCATCCTGCAGCCAATCGTAAGCTGCGGAAGCTGCACTGGATGTTTGGCTTCCGAGGAAAAGTTCGCAAATTCGAACACCTACTTCCGGGTTTGTGGCGTTCGAATTCCAAGTTGTTTGTGAACTAAGCTGTTCGAAAACCAAGGTGCAACTGCATAGTATAGTATAGTATCAAAATATTATTTTTGGGGTACACAACCAGAAATAGTGTCTTTTCAAGAGCACTGGTTATACTTCTACAGTTCTCCGCAACGTATTGTTGTGACAGGGATTTTCAACTCTGACAAATTTGAAAGATCAGAAAAGAGAAAGATTTATTTGTGTTGATGAGATGATAGTTTATTTGTCTCAAATTAGACCTGATATAAATGAGAAGATTACTTGGCAAAAGCAAGCTCACTCCTCTCATTAGGCTTGTATTATACATACTTAAGGTACATATCAAAGAGGCTTGTTTATAATTATATTTTGGGGATGAGTCATATTTTTTTTGCAGCTGAATTGATACTTTTTGGATGCCCCATGTCCTAAAGTATTTTATTCTATGTTATAAATTATGCACTGCTAGGAGTTGTTTCTTTTTGTTTTCCAATGTATTTCTTGCCAATTAAAAAATTGATGTGGCGTGAACAAATTTTTATTCTGTAAGTCTGGCCCAGAGAAAAAAAGTTTGAGAACCTCTGCTGTAAACAATGGACCCAAGGGTCTGACTCTGGCTCCTGAGCAAGTGAGTTGCGTGCATGTCTGAGAATTGGGCCTCTGGGATATTTTATCTTGCATTCATTTCTTCCCCTAACTTTCCTTCCCAGTTCGCCATGGAGCCAAAGTAGTCTTCTGTGCCCCAGGATCTGAAGGTGAGGCTTGGAGATCTTTCATTACCCCCACTCATTGTTAAAGGGCTCCCTCGTTCTCTCACTCCCAATATGTGTATATCCAAATCGGTTTGGCTGATGCAAAGGAGATATGCAAGGTTAAGACAGCAGAGGGCAGCAAAATGTCCCAAGAAAGTTGAGAAAGAAAAGCATGGCTGGAAAAAAACAGTCCCGTTTTGTGGCAGAGGTAGATATTTTGCAGGTGCAGGCTTACAAAAGATGCAGTGATGAAGCTGCACCTTTGAATTTCTGCCTGTCAAGTAGGTGTCAAATTGTATAAAGAGCCCTGCCAGGATAAGGAGGCAACCTAATCCCCGGCCTGCCTGCGTACTTGCTGCAAAAGCAAACATACACACTGCACTTCAAGTGACAATATACAGCCCTGCTCTCTTTCTTTCCTCCTGGATATTTTCTTCATTTAGGAAAAAGGTGTGTGTTTGGTCCTGAGAACTAGCAACTTGTGCGGTGGCCTTTTTGTGCGAGGATTTAAACCTGGGTCATGTCACTAGGGCAGCCTTTCTTCGCTCTTGTTCCAGTCTGGGCCAGTTGCAACACCAGCCACTGAGAGTTACTGGGAGACCCCCAGTCCCATCACAGAGCTACAGTTTCCAGAGTGGTTTGACAGTCAGTCCCTCTTCTCAGGGAGCTCTGGGAATTGTAGCTCTGGGAGGGGAATGGGGGGGGGCATCTCCTAACAACTCTTGGCACCCATAACAAATAATGTTTCTCAGAATGCTTTGGGAGAAGCCGTGGCAGTTTGAAGTGGCTTCATAAGGCTTTGTGGGTCCACTGGCTGGGGAGAACTTTGTTCTGTGTGTGTCCTTCCTTCCTCTTCTGTTCCTCAGAAGGCCACAGTAACTCTGCTAGCTGTGACGGAGCTTTTATATTTTCCTTCAGGGGAAAGGGGAAAAGTTATTGAAAAGGAGCTGAATGATTCTGCAGGGCCTGGGGAAGGTCACTTTGAGGTCTGCGATGTCCTTCGTGAAACAGACATTAAGGTAAGCTGAAACTGTGGAGGAAGAAGAGTATTAAATTGGGGGGGTTTCTCAGGCACCTCCAAGACCAACTTTTCCTTTGCTGAACAGGTTGCGAAAGCCCTACCCCAAATTCCAGCTCTCTGTTATTTAAATTTTCTGCCTTTGGGGGCATTCCTCTTGCTGTCTGTGTCTGACCTTTTCCCACAGATCCAGAATAATTTCCCTGTTATTTGCTAAGTGCTTTCCTCACCAAAGTGACCCAAAGCGCTGTAACATTAAAGCCAATGTTGATACATGTCTTAAATAAATACTACACTAATGCATGCTACACTGTGTTTAAAAGTGCACCCTTATAGTAACAAATGTGATAAAAATGAAAGGCAGAAGTCACCCGAACGTGATTGGTGAATAGAGCAAACACATTTCCAATAGTTAGAGAAGAAATTGCCAAATACAGTAATTTAATATAAAGCACCTTCTGTTTCAGCCTTTAAATACCTGCTGAAAACTTGTCTATTCCACCAGGCTTATGCAGGCAACTAAGAACACATCTTTCCATAACCATTAGTTGACGATCTCTGATTTTAAACATTTATGTGTTTTCATTATCTATAGATATTACTCTACACAGCTACGATATTTTTAGGCTATAGTGGCATAGCTCCTCACTCTCGTTCAAGTAGCTGAATGTTCTAAAATTGTAGAGATATTTTGGTTCTCTTTCCCGCGGCAATTATATTCATGCCCCTCCTTGCAGACTTTGGTTTCTGTGACCGTAGAACTTTACGGACAGCTTGACTGCCTGGTGAACAATGCTGGAGGCCGTGAGTTGTTTCCAAAATTTTGGGGGGGGCGGGCGTGGGAAGAATCGGGATGGTTGTCTCCTGGGAGGTGGGGCCTTCTTTGATTAATCGACAACAAAATGGCCATGAGGACTAGGAACCTCGGAGGAAAGACAGCTTTGTGGTTGTCTGTTTACAAAACGGAAGAGAAAACCGATCACAGTGAATGTCTGTGTTTCTTTGACAGTTTAGGACACGGGAGGAGAACTTATGGGCTGTTTTCTTGAAAGTTGGTGGAAGCCTATTGAGATGGAGGGGGCAGGGAGACATGGGAAGGGGGGGCAAAGCTCTCTGCAAACAATGCATTCAGACCCCTGGCAACAGGATAGCAGAAAGAGAGCGTAGAGGAGTTGCAGGGAAAAAGGGGGTGGGGTGGCCTAGCTTTTCACCATCTCTGGCCTCCAACAGATTACCACTGAGTGAATGCATGGCCCTTCCCTGGTGTAGGGCATTCTAAGCACTTCATATGAGTTATTCCATCAGCTCCAAGGCTTACTATTATCCCCATTTTGCAGATGGAGGACTGAGGGGAGAGAGAGGGGGGGGGGAAGTTGCTTGCTTAAGGCTGCTCTTGGAAAGGAATGATGAGGGTTGAGCCTATGGGAACTTTTTGACTCCTAGCTGCTCTGTTACATGAGCTGCCTTTATTTTCTGGGCTCACGCTCTGACCCATGAATATCCTTGCAGGTGTTGTACCTTTTATGTCAAGGAGCAAAACCTAAGCCCTTATTGGAAAGGAAGCAAAACTAATTAGGATACTTTTCATTGGGGGGAGGGAGGGACACCCAACTCTCATTTTCATATCTGATGTTGGATCTGTAATATTTACATCCCCCCTAAGATGGTTTAGGAACGACAATGAATGTTGAGTCTTCTTGCAAACAGATCCTCCTGACCAAACCATAGACGACGTGTCTGCGCAGGAGTTCCGCAGCCTCATGGACCTCAATGTGGTGAGCTGCTTCTTAGCCGCTAAGGTGAGCGATTCCAGTTTTGTACTTGGGATACTGCCTTTATACCAAGCCAGGCCACTGGTCCATCTGGCTGAGAATTATCTGTACTGAATGTTCTGAAATTGCAGAGATTTTTTTTTGGGGGGGGGTCTCTTTCCGCCTTGCATGAAATCTTGTCTTTTTATATCACTGTTTCTCTAGCGGTGGCTGTGCTCCTTAGGACTGGTAGGGGTAGAAGGCAGGGACACATGGACACTTCTCCACCATACATTTAAAGCCCTGTGATGCCACTTTAGACAGTCATGGCTTCCCCCAAAGAATCATGGGAACTGCAAGTTGTTACAGGTGCTGAGAGTCGTTAGGAGACTCATCTTCCCCTCCTACAGTTCCCAGAGCTCCCTGGAAAGAGGGGTTGATTGTTAAACCACTCTCAAAGAAACCAGCTTTAATCCCTGGCCTCTCCTGTTAAAGTAATAATTATAATAATAATAATTTATTATTTATACCCTGCCCATCTGGCTGGGTTTCCCCAGCCACACTAGGTGGCTCCCAACAGAGGACTAAAAACAGAATAAAACTTCAAACATTAAAAACTTCTCTAAGCAGGACTGCCTTCATATGTCTTCTAAAAGTAAGGTAGTTGTTTATTTCCTTGACATCTGATGGGAGAGCGTTCCACAGGGCGGGTGCCACTACCGAGAAGGCCCTCTGCCTGGTAATATTGGGTAGGCCTCCTGGGAAAGTCCTTCAGTCATAGGAGACCAAGCGTGTCCTCCAGATGTCGATGGACTACAACTCCCATCGTCTGTGCCTGTTGCTTGCTGGGGTTGAGTCCACAAAATCTGGAGGTCACATTGGTTACTCCTGGAGTCAAGACCATTAATCTTCAGCTGGTGGGTCATGGACTCTACAACGTGGGTTGCAACAGCAGCACTTACCAGCAAACAAACACACAATGAGAACAATTTGGAAGTGGGTTCCTAAATGCATGTTTGGGTTAAGGGTGGGTCCTAGCTGAGCCACTTCTGGAGTAAACAATACTGTGCTAGATAGATCAATGGTCTGGCTCCATTCAAGGCAGCTTCATCTGTCGGGATCTTTCCTCTCGCGAGCAGGCCGCCCTGCCTCACCTCCGCAAAACGAAAGGGAACATCATCAACATCGCCAGCCTTGTTGGTCTCATTGGACAGAAGTACGCGGTGCCATATGTTGCAACCAAGGTAATCCAGAGCAACACCTAGAACTTGGATTCAGGCGCCCATCCTTCCCACCCTCCCTTTCTGGTTGTAAAGACTGGACCGCCAACTTTTGTTTATAAGCATCTGCTTCTGTGCTCTTAATCACAAGGGATAATCCCAAATGATAGTGCCTGCCTTTGTGCCATTGAAAATCCACTTTCTGATTTCCACATATCCAGCTGCTGCTTAATGACACAGGAGCGAGTCAGCTTTCCCCACCCCGGTCAGTTGGCAATTCTGTCTAAACCAGCGTGTGTTTGCTTACTATGGCCAAAACAAATTGACTAGCTTTATTACACCAGGCTTAAACCTCCCTGTAACACAAATGACCAGTGCAGTTATTTTGTTTTGTTCTTTTAAAACAGAATTCCATAATTTAACTAAGGACTCTTCTGTCTTTCAATCTATTCAGTTTTGGATTAGCCTCTTGTTCGTAATGTAATTCAGTGGGATTACTTATTTGCAACATCATTAAAATAAAAAAGTCACCAAAGATGGGAGCAAAGCGGTAAGAAAACATTGGCCTGTTATTTGGGTTGCCAACTTTTAATTGTCGACTCCTTCTTTCATGCCATTTGCCAGAGGAACGCAAGGGACGTTGTCAATTTACATGCAAGAAAAGCTTCAGATTGTTTTCTGTACAGCAAGATGCTGTCAGAAGCTGTGCCATTTCCTCCTCCCCTCTGGTCCTTTGTTAACCCTCCCTATTAATGCCTCTGACTTTGCAGGGCGCTGTTACTGCGATGACAAAAGCTATGGCCATCGACGAGAGCAAATATGGTGTCCGAGTCAACAGGTACTGTAGTGGCAGCTGGCAGTGAAGCTCTGTTGTGCACAAGGCTTTCTAGGGTGATCAGCTTTCCTCCTTCCATGTGTGCAGGGTTTGGACACCTTTTCAAACAAAAGTATGGGAAGTGTAGAGGAGCTCCAAAAGGATTTTGCACAGAGTTCTGAAAGGATCCCTCTGGACTTGGTGAATGGGCAAATGGCAAATGTGGTTCAGTGTTAGCAAGTGCAATGTGATGCACACATTGGGGCAAAATAGATCCTAACTTCACATCTGAACTGGCTTGACCAGGAAATAGTGGATAACGGTGGATGCCTCAGTGAGGATGTCAACCCAGCGTGTACAGGGATGCTAGACACGATTGAAATCTAGACATGATTTAACGAAGGCAGGTGTTACCCTGGCCATATCTGCAGTCTCCAGGAATGGATGTAGCTGGAGCACAACTTATTTATTGGCAGGACATTAGCAACCAAGCATAAGATCTCACTGTGAATTATAATTATAAATTACCTTATATACCACCTTTGTCTTCCAAGGAGCTCAAGGTGGTGTACGTGGTCCCCCCCCCATTTTATTCTCACAACAACCCTGTAAGGTAGGTTAGGTTGGGAACTGGCGACTGGCCCAAGGTCACCCAGCGAGCTTCATGGATGAGCGGGGATTTGAACCCTGGTCTTCCAGGTCCTAATCTAACCACTGGCTCTCTGTGAATCAAATTTAAAGTCGATATGGGAGTCTTTACTTCTGGAAATAACAAAGGGGGGACATCTTTCCTCACTAATTTTGAAATGGATCTGCTCTATTTTCCTTGCTTTCCACCCCTCCACCCCCTCTTCTTTTAAAAAAAGAAACCCCCAACTATTTGAATTCCAGCATCTCACCTGGCAATATCTGGACTCCTATGTGGGAGAAGCTTGCAAGCCAGACAGCTGACCCAGAAGCAACGATCCAGGAAGGCATAGATGCTCAGGCAAGTGCATTGTGGGGAAACAGGCCTGGTGCAGCTAGAGAGAAAAGGTTCCATCCTACATACGGGGGGCGGGGGGGGGCTGTGTAGCTGTTGTAAACAAAAATCGCCCTTTTCCCTTATGGGGTATCCAAGAGCCCATATAGAGTCCTTACATAGGTTCCCTATTGGTAGGAGAGAATAACAGAGGCCAACCAGAGAATATTGAGAAGCAAAGCAGCTAGTAAGCTTGATCTTTATTGATCTGTTGCAACAGGGTGCTCCCCTCACCCACAGGAGAGAGGAGGGACCCAGAAAAATGGCGTGCAAAGCCTTATAAAGACTTTAGAAATTGCCACCCTGTAGATCAAGGGACGCGGGTGGCGCTGTGGGTAAAACCTCAGTGCCTAGGGCTTGCGGATCGCATGGTCGGCAGTTCGAATCCCCGCGGCGGAGTGAGCTCCTGTCTTTCGGTCCCAGCTCCTGCCCACCTAGCAGTTCGAAAGCACCCTTAAGTGCAAGTAGATAAATAGGTACCACTTTATAGCGGGAAGGTAAACGGCGTTTCCGTGTGCTGCACTGGTGCTGGCTCGCCAGAGCAGCTTCATCACGCTGGCCACGTGACCCGGAAGTGTCTCCGGACAGCGCTGGCCCCCGGCCTCTTAAGTGAGATGGGCGCACAACCCTAGAGTCGGACACGACTGGCCCGTATGGGCAGGGGTACCTTTACCTTTACTAGATCAAGACCACCCCCAGAAACATCATACATACATCACAGAAGGGGTGTAACCTAAGACCACCCCTCAGATACATTACACCTGCATCACAGAAAAGGCGGTCTAAACAGAAATTTGAATGTTGTTTTTCTCCTGTTGTTGTTTATCTCCTGTCTGGCAGGTTATTTGATTGGATTGCTGGGGTAGCCTGGCCAGTCTTTTGTAATGATAAATACTTAGTTCCTGGGCTATGTCACAGGCTCACACCCTATTCAAACACAGACATACCCTTAAGACAGGATTTGTGAAGGAAAAGACAATGGGGAGGCGTTTCCATTTTCCTTTGACCTTGCAGAGAAAACATTTGGTTAGTTTGGGAATCAAAATGTTTCCAGGTCGGTCTTCCTGTGCTGATCTATGTATGTGCTTGGTTGGTACACTTATGAACATTTAACATATATCTAAGACCTCAAAATTCCTATCACATAGCCAACACTGGGGGGGGGGGGGGACCTCTGCACCAAGGAAGCCCTGATTCTGCAACCTCCCTATAGTGTGCAAATTAATGACATTTGCATATATGAGCTATTTCTGCATAGATCAGGTGTCAGGAACATGTGCCCCTCCACGTGTAGCTAAACTACCACTCCCATCATCCCCAGCCTTTGGCCATGCTTGCTGGGGCTGATGGGAGTTGTAGTTCAGCAACATGTGGCAGGCCGAAGACCTCCCACCCCTGGCGTGGCTGCCGATTTTTCTGTTTAGTTATGGGAAAAGGCAAAGTGTCATGCAAAGCATTGGACGTCTCACTAATCAACTTCTCAGCCTGACCTTTTAACTTTTGAGATCTCACAGATTTATGGACTAGAAACTTGTTTTGGTGTTTTTTGAACTGAGTCTCAGGGGCTAGAAACTTGTGTCTTCTTTTAACTGAAAGCTAAGAGCATGAAGTAAAAGCACCAGGTGGGAGGAATAGGCTGTGCACACTCATAATATAAGGTGCAAAGTACTGATTTCCCTCTCAACTGTATTTGCAGCTTTTGGGAAGAATGGGGACCCCAGCGGAATGTGCTGCAGCTGCTCTGTACCTCGCTTCTGAGGCCACCTTCTGCACTGGCATCAACCTGGTGCTTAGTGGTGGAGCTGAACTTGGATACGCACAGAAGAGCCACAGAGAGCTGAATCCCAGTTTGGAAGACTAGTTGGAGTCAGCAAGAAAAGCACAAATGACTTCAGTGGTTACCCGGTAGTTGATAAGGTGGGCTGATAAGAACAGCTGCAGCTTCAAAAAGACAGAACGTCCGCAGGATAGCGACTATGTTTTTATCTGTCTTAGCCAAAACAGTAAGAGCCCTGTGGCACTTTTAAAGAGTTAGCAAATCCAGATATGCCCCAGGGATGAAGGGGATTCTTCTCCACACCCACCCACCCACCCACCCACCCACACAGCAGGTTTCCACACTTGTCTCTGGCAATTGTTTAGCAAGCAGAAAGGCAACAGCTGAAGCTTTTCCAGTACAGTGGTACCTCGGGTTACATAGGCTTCAGGTTACATACGCTTCAGGTTACAGACTCCGCTAACCCAGAAATAGAACCTCGGGTTAAGAACTTTACCTCAGGATGAGAACAGAAATTGTGCTCCGGCGGCGCGGCGGCAGCAGGAGGCCCCATTAGCTAAAGTGGTACCTCAGGTTAAGAACAGTTTCAGGTTAAGAACGGACCTCCAGAACGAATTAAGTACTTAACCCGAGGTACCACTGCACTTTTATGTTCCCACGTAGGACAGGAGGAAGGGGACCTCTGGCCCACAACTCAATTATGGCCTGCAAGGCTGTTTTCCCCAAACTAAACCCACCTGTCCCAAACCTGATCCCATTTGTGATGTCAATTGTGGGGCAGGCAGAGGCATCGCTGGATCGGCTGTGAGATCCAGATTCACACAGCCAGTCCTTGTAGAAAGCAAGTTTGAAGTCGCTGCCCAACTTGAGCCTGAAGATAAGCAGTGCTTTGAAGCCCGTGATGTAATTGTGACATCAGGCATTTGACAGGTGGGTAGTCCACCCACCTGCCTATCAAATTTGGTCCTTTGAAGACTAGGGGAGAAAAGGATCTGGCCCACTGGACCAGTGAATAATCCTGTTTGCCATGGAGCTAAAGGCATAGGAGCGTAGTCAGAAGAACGGTGGCAACCCGGTCCTTAATACTGTATTGCTTTACATGTTCTAGGCCTTAATACTGAAAACAGGTTCTACAGCTTAGCCCCAAGGAGTTCCTAGATAACACCATAGGCCTGTTTGTCATGCAAATATGCTCAAGGTCAGCTGGACCTTGAAGCTGAACATGTGGCGGTGAAGATTTTGTTATATTTAACATGTGCCTTTTGATCAGTGACCATGGAAATTCTTATCCTGAATCTGCTTGTTAAATAAATGCGTCAGAAAAGACTGCCTTAAAAATGTGACGCCTCATTGGGCTTTAATGCTGTTGGCCGACAAAGATTATCATCTAAAAAAAAGCACTACCCCACCTGATTTCTCCAAGAAATTGACGAGCTTATGGGGCTTTTCCCCTGCAGCTTTTATCCTCACAACTATCCTGCGAAATCAGCCAGTCCTTGTGTCTACAGTGCTTTAAAATGATTCGAGTCGGAGAACCCACCCGAAGGAGTTGGGCCTCCTGGTCAGAGACTAGATTCTGCAGCCTCGTTCCCACTTTTGCACCTTACCCAGGCTTCTGTTCTGTTCCTCTAACTCTGTTCAAATGGCATGTGGGTAGATTGATTGTATCTGTTTGCAAAGAGAACTTCCAGCATGTCCAGCTGATCAGGGGTGAGGTGGGCTGGGGGTGGAATGCCCTGACTTGCACCTGTTCCTTTAAGAATAGCTTGATTTGCAGAAATCAGCCACTGAATGTGCTCATGGCCATGAGATAAAAAACCCTGCCTATTAATTGTAGGAGTACCCTCCTTTTTAAAACACACACACACACACACACACACACACACAGCCAGATCTCCATGATGGGCAGTATATATACTATCTAAATAGGGCTATTTTGTGGTTGTGTTTAACCCTTTGAAAAGGATCTCTGGCATATCTTTGCTCCAACTGAGGCTGATCGTGAATGCTGCTTTGGAAAAGGATGTCTGCATAAACAGAATAAAGAGTGCACAAGGAGACCAAGGCACAGTTCCTGTTTTAACAGCTGTTCCCACCCCAGAGGCAGCTGTGTCTCTGCTCTGTTGGGGGGGGGTAGCTGCGTTGAACAGCCAGCATCTTCTGCGGTAATGAGCAGTCCATGCAGCAAAATCAATTACTCCAGGGCTCCCTTAATTGCTTCTTTCAAGCCAATTAACTAATGTCCTGGAGAAACAGAGCATTAGCTCTTCATTGACTAGGTACATGCTAGAATTTCTGGTTGCCACTCCATGCCCCCCCCCCCTGCCCCCAAGAACATCCAGTGCTGCATCAGAAGTGCAGATGGGGAAGGCAACTTCACATGTTGAGTTTCTGGCTGCCAACATGAACAACAGTACTGCCCTGAAAATATAACAACCCTATTCATAAAACCTCAGTCCCTCTGCCTCCTATGGGTGGGTGGGTTGTGGTCACTCCCTCTGACAATGTTGTCATTGTCGTCATTATATGTGTGTGTCAAATTTATAAATTTTCTACTGCTTAATGCTTAAGATGGCATCTAAACCAAAAGATTTAAAACTAATTCTATAACGTCTGCATTTAAAGTAGTATCATACCACTTTAAACAGTCATGGCTTCCCCCATAGAATCCTGGGAAGAGTAGTTTGTTAAGGGAGCTGAAGGTTGTTTGTTGTTTAGTCGTTTAGTCGTGTCCGACTCTTCGTGACCCCATGGACCAGAGCACGCCAGGCACTTCTGTCTTCCACTGCCTCCCGCAGTTTGGTCAGACTCATGTTTGTAGCTTCGAGAACGCTGTCCAACCATCTTGTCCTCTGTCGTCCCCTTCTCCTTGTGCCCTCCATCTTTCCCAACATCAGGGTCTTTTCCAGGGAGACTTCTCTTCTCATGAGGTGGCCAAAGTATTGGAGCCTCAGCTTCACAATCTGTCCTTCCAGTGAGCACTCAGGGCTGATTTCCTTAAGAATGGATACATTTGATCTTCTTGCAGTCCATGGGACTCTCAAGAGTCTCCTCCAGCACCATAATTCAAAAGCATCAATTCTTCGGCGATCAGCCTTCTTTATGGTCCAGCTCTCACTTCCATACGTCACTACTGGTGAAGGTTGTTAGGACACCCCAATTCCCCTTCCAGAACACTTATTCCCAGAGTGCTTTAAAGTCACCCCTCGTTCCATGGAACTGAGAATAGTTGTTCTGAGAGAGGAAGAGGGGGCTCCTAACAACTCCTAGCACCAAACAACATACTTCAGCCCCCCAAATTATTTGGGGGAAAGCTATGACTGTTTAAAATGGTATGATATTGCTTTAAATGTGCAGTGCAGATGTGGCCTTAAAATACAGTATAATTAAAAAGGGACCATAAAACAACCCTATTAAAATATAAACCTCTATGATTAAAATGTGAAATTAAAACAGTGAAACAATACAGGAGACTCAGGTCAAGCAATCAAAGAATTTTTTATGTAAAAAAGTGGATCTTCAAAAGCTGGCAGAATGCCAATACAGAAGTTGCAAGAGTTGGTGGGTAAGTGAATGGTTTTGTTCTAGGTTTTCTCATCTGGATGATTACCCTGTTTCGTTTCCAAAACTCGTGAGTCCAGGATGCGTTCTTTCCGCTTTAGGCAAGCACATAAACAATTTCTACACCATTCAGATTTTTTTTTAAAAAAAATGTGTTTATTGTCTCCCCTCCCATTTTTACAAAAAATGAACTAAAATAATTCAATTCAACATGATTATCACTTGGAAAAAATTCATTGTCTTCAAAGTGCTTAAGACCTCCTCTTCTTCATCCTCCTAAGAGCCCTAGTGAGGTAGTTAATTTTTACTATTTTAACCAGTAAGGATGGGAGATCTTGCTGTCATTTTTCTCAAGGACATGGCTATACAGGGAGAACATCAATAAAATTTAGGATTTAAATGAGTTTTTGTAAGTGCCTAAAACCTTTCCATACATGATCCTAGTGATTTTTGTAAGTATAGCCAGTGTTTATGGTAGGGTAGGATTATAATTATTTTGCCCCCTTTTTCTTACAAAATGGGTGAGAGGAGAGACTGAAGCTCCATAGTGCCTTGCCAATGGCCAGTCAATGAGTTCACAGCTGTGCTGTGAAGACAAAAACAGGGGCTTTCCATCTCTTAGCTCATGATTTTAACAACCACAACTCTGGACCCAGATTAACGCTTTAGACACTGATTCACACAGTGGCTCCTGTGCTGCCTTGTGCATTGCAACTCTTGGATACCTAGACATATTTTTACTGGAGGTGTCTTTCCACAGCTGTGGTTAGTCCAGTAAGAAGTCACGCTTTTCAGTTTCCTTGTGTTGTGGCTTTCCAGTCTAAACCGATTTTTAACTGAACACTTGATGTGTTATGCCCTCCCATTTACTGTTCCCTGTTCTAAGTTTATGGGAGGGCTATAACGTTTAAAATAAATAACACCCAAGCCAGATGACGTGGGTGTTTGTGCACATTCTTGAATCCCTCCCTGCTGTTGGCCATGCCCCTGTGCTGCTGTTTGCTTGCTCTGTGCATAGTCAGATGCAGAGCTGACACATGTGCTCCTTGAAGGGTGTATGTGAAACTGCCAGCTTTGCCATTGGATGGGTGAGTGGGCGTGTGTAGGGAAAGCGAGTGTGATTGGCTGCAACATCCCCCCCTACTTTGTAGAGGGTATTTGTGCCAAGAAAAACGAAGATGTGTTTGTGTGTCTAAAATACATGTACACATTTCCACAAATCCTTTCCTAACAGACACCCTTCATTCTTGCATCATCAGTGCTTCTGATCTTGCCTTTATCAGCTACCATAAATGTAGCCGTTTCTGTAAATGTAAATGTTTCTGTTTCACTCAACTTGCTTGTTGTTGTTTTTTAATCATACATAAGGAAGAATGTGCTGAATACGTCGCAGTACTGAATATAATCTCGATATAATTCCTTATTAGGGTTGTAGAGCCTTCGCATTTTAACTCGCCGTTTAAATGAAGTCGACCGGGGGAAGGGAAGCAAAGCCCTTTGTACATACTTAGCGGCGCACTCATCCTTCAAAATTTGACATTGAAAACAAAGGCGTCCTGAGCTGCGCCCTCTTTTCAGCTCGAGCCTTTTTGTCATGGAGAGCCGCATGGAAAGTAGGCAAATAGAGGTGGAGCTGGAGGCGGGCGAGGGGCGGAACCTTTCTGCCCCGGTTCCAGCAGGCCACGCCCGGCTTCATTAGACAGAAGCACCACCAACAGCATGGCAGCGACGGCGGGACTCCCGCGCTCTTTGGGGCGGGTAAGTTGGGAAAGGGGAGGGGGGCCAAGAGGGAAGGAGACCCGGCGGCCTTTCCCCGCAGCCCATCCCCAAATAAAAGGGAAGGGGGCTGCACTTCCGGTAAGGGGGTCACGGTGGTGGGCTCAGTCCTGTCCTTAAATAGCTCCGGGCGGGAACGTAGCACCCACGTTAAAAACAACAAAAAAACACCCTCGTTTGCTTTTAGCCAATCTCTTCTCTAAATTCCTTGCCCAGTTCCTAAACAGATACTCACTTATTACCCCTTTCCTTCCAGATGGGTATTAGCTTGCTTCTTCCCCAGTCCTTCTTTCCAAGGAGGCACCCCAACCCCAATATTCGCCTGGGCACTCACCACCTGGCTCTTCTAATAACTGTTTTTCAGCCTGGAAAAGATTGGGATCAGTAGTAACACGTTACCTATTTCCCCCTCCCTCAAGCCCCATATCTCTTCTCCAACAGAGGAAATTTACTGAACAGGATAGCCCCGCTCCAGCTGGCTCCCTCCTTCAAATAAATTCCCAATTTGATATTTCCCAAAGGCACATGACTGCCAAGTTGTTACAAAACACACTTCTCCCCGCCTCTTGAGATCTTTTAGTCCTAAAAAGATGGCTAAATCTTTTTGTCCTAAAAATAACACTCTCCTCTGCTATATTTCCTTTAATTCCTCACGAGAAATTCCTTAGGGCACCCAGAGCAGTACATTTCCACACCTAAGGTACTGTTCTCATACTCTTTCTTTTTTTACAATTTTTGACTCAAGGGATGCTTTGTACAATAGGAAGAATGGAAGAATTCTGATTTTTAAGTTTATGGTGATGGCTGCCTCCCCCCCCCCCCCGGTCTTGCTTGAAATGGCATCAATATGACCCATGCAGCTTATCCCGCTCAAAATTCCTCCAGGCTTAGGGTAGATTTTTTTCCAAGAACAACTTTATCCTGCTTCAGTGATTGGTGTGTATGTTCCTCAGCAGCTGTAACTTCCCTGTGATTTTTAAGAATGGCAATATGCTTAAATGGAATAAGGAGCAATTTAAGTGTTCACTACACAGATAAAACCCTGTGAACTTTAAAAACAACTGCTAACATTCAGTTTATGCATTTCTGATGCGAATGTGTTTCTGATTCTTGCTTAATAAACACTGAAACACGTGGGTTTGGCAGTGGGGTTATGAAAGTTCATGTTGGTTAGGAGGAAATTGTGGATTCTCTATCCGATCCTTGTAAACTCTGCCTGGAAATATCAACACCTGGAGCAACCCCATTTGGTCATTATTCTTGTCCTGACCTGTTATACAAATCTAGGGGCTGCCCCTCCCTTTGCAGCCACAGTCCCATGGCAGCATACCTCCTGCTTTCTTTATTTAAGTTGGCATGATATTCTCACCTACCTGGAACACTGTGTTCTCTCTTCCACTTCTTTTTTCTACCGCTCCACCCCTGACTTTCTGATATGCATCTTGCGAGAGAGCTGCAACTTCCTGATAAATAGAGCTGATTGTGTTCAGAGGTCTGGATTGGGTTTCTACTGGAGGAGAGAGAGAGCAATTTCAAAGTGTTATATTGCTTGTCGGCAATGAAAAGAGTAACAGTTGCCAAGGCACTGAAAATTCTGCAAAGGCCAAGAATTATGGTTGCCACTACTGCTGAGTTTCTCTGTTCAGTCCCCTGCTGTCATGCCAAAAGCAAGGAAGTGCCTTTCTGGTTATTTTGAGATCCAACTCAGTTGCTTCTCACTCATTAACAGAGGTGTGTGTATTCTGCACCCAGGAAAACTAAATTCAATTCAAAGGAAACCCAAGAGATTGGCAGTGCTGGCTGCAGGTTGCAGCAGCCCTGGACAAGATGTTCCCTGCTGAGACCCTCCTCCTGTGAGGGGGGCTTCTTGGCTTTCATGACCCTTCTCTGAGCAGAGATGAGTGGATGTATCTATCCTCTCCTTTATGAATGATGCTAATTCAGGGGTACTGTGGGGAATGTAAAGGGTGGTTAGATACAGCTGCCTGTCACAGTCGAAAGTGGTGAGTCATTCATATATAGGGGTGGGGATTGGGCAGCCATCAGCAGTGGGCCCTGCCAGGGCACTAGGGTTCTAGCAACTGCCCATGGATGTCAGGTGCCAGGGGAGTCTTAAGCATATGTGCCGCTGGGGTGCAAAGATCCACCCAGCTCCCCCAAGTCTGACAAACGCCTCTGTTGTGAATGCCAAGCGCCATCGCTTGCACAGCACATCTTTGGTAAATGAGTGCACAAAGTCAAAAGTCCTTTAGTGAAACAGTAGGTATACATTTCGGTAATACCTAGGTATATACCGTACTTTTCCGTGTGTAAGGCTAGGTGTTTCTCTTTAAAAATTATGCTAAAAAGTGTGAGTCGTCTTATACATGGGGGCGTCTTATACATGGAGAAATACGGGTATGTATTTTATTTTTCTAGCTTGATCAAAATTATTATTTCATAACAGGTAGATAGTTAAGAGCTTAGGCAGCTTCAGTGAGGGGCGCATGGCGCCCCCAGAATTCGGAGCCCGGGTGCCCTGCACCCCTGGGTAAACACTGCTCTGCCAGGTGCTAATGCTAGCTTTGAAGACCTAGAAGTTGTAGTAGTACCATTGGCTGATTGCAGTAGATCAGCAAGGGCTCCTAACTTCCAGTTGTAGAGTAAGAACAACAAGGCTTTCCTCCTTTAAACTGGAGCTTTAGAACCCCTGATCTGTAATAACTGAGATTTGTACTTGTCTATGTAGATAATCCCAATGTATGGCTCATGGATTGCAGGAGGTAGGTGGTTTCGCCTCCCTCAGCCACCATTTTGCACTTGGTTGGTGCACCTCAGGGTCCAAGTAAAAACAACAGCAAAGTAGATTGCACCAGCCTGATGTCTGCCCATACCTGCTGTAGATCATAGGCCTGATGGGTGGGCAACCACTGCCACCGTTTTCTTGTTTTGTTTTTTTACGCTTCCCTAAGAGAAGAAGAAAAAGAGGAGAGATGAGAGAAGCCTTAAGGAAAATTATAGAGAGCGACAAAGGTGTGCATATATCTATCTATCTATCTATCTATCTATCATCTATCTATCTATCTATCTATCTATATATATCTATATATCTATATCATCTCTCTCTCTCTCTCTCTCTCTCTCTCTCTCTATATATATATATATATATAAACAGTTCCCATATTGCCCTGAATTAAAGGAAGCAACTGCACATTAAATCACATCTTGTTTAGTTTATATATCCTCAGTTCCATACGTTTGCTTCATTGATATTCTTTATTCCGATCCCAGTAGCTGAGTTCTGTAGAACGTTTAGTTAGGAATGAGTGGGGAATGATTAGTTGGTGAGAAAACATTCCCGCTTAGATGTGTCCTGGCTACCAGAAGGTAAGTGGCTGTGATTCGGTGGGAGGTTGACTACAATGGGGAATAAGGCTATCATGGCTACTAGCCATCATGCCTATGTTCTGCTTCCACTGCCTCTGAGTACTAGCTGCTGAGAATCACAAGTGGGCAGGGAGTGCTCTTGCTCTCAGGTCTTGCTTGTGGGCTTCCCATAGGCATCTAGCTGGCCACTTTGAGAACAAGATGTTGGTGCAGATGGGCCTTTCATAGCAGGGTTTTTCTTAAGTGCATGTGATATTTCTATTTCCACAGGTCCAGTCACTGTCTGTTTAAGGTCCTCCCCACTTTATTCTTACAACAGCCCAGTGAGGTTTTAGATTAGGACGAGATACAATCACTAGTCCAAAGCTACCTAATGACTTCCATGGCCAAATTGGGGGTTTGAAAACAGGCCTCCCCAGTCTTTGTCCAACACTCTAATCCCTACACTGCACTGATGATTCTCATAGTATCTCATATCCACATCTGATGTGAATCTCCGTGATGGAAAAGCTTGGAAGCAGTAGTATCAGATTACCACCTGCTGCTGCCTTGTGTGTGTTTAAGGTGGCTGTTTTTAAATTAGATTATTCAGTGATTTGTGACAGGGCCTGCAGAAAAAACCACCTGGCACTGCACCAAAAAGTTATTTTTTGCATTTCGAAAAATCATAATCCACTTGATCAAAAGTCTCCAAGCACCATACAGATAAATAGTAGGTAAAACCTAAATCACAATTCACCATTAAAAAAAACCCCAACCCAAATATATCATAACTATAAAACAAAGACAAAACTTTAAAAACAAATATAAGTAACCAAGTTATATGTCTGGGTAGGCTTGCTTTTCAGCACGCGTATCCAACAATGTAGTGAGGGCATCTGTCCAATGTCAGTGGGGCAGGGAAGGTCTGAGACAAAGATGCTGGTTCAGGGACGTTGGTGTAGTGTTGAGATAGCCAACGTGGTTCCCTCCAGATGTTGCACCACAATTCCCCTAATTCCCAAGTGGTATTGCCCACAGAGTTTATGGGAGTTGGAGTCCAGCAGCAGCTGGAGGGCACCACCCAACTAGCTACCCCTGGTGCATTGTCTCCCTTTCTCCTCTGGAATAACATGCCACTGAAGGCATCGAACTACCACACTTGGCCTTTGGGCACATCTACGTAGGTCTGTAAATCTGGGTAAGGGCACATTAGGAGATTTGCCCTTATTAGGCAGAGGTGCTCTGGATGGAGACAGCGGATGGATGAAAGGTCAAAACTGAGGGCCAAGTGGTATGGGGAATTGGGACTGGCAAAGCAGAGACCCACCGCAGAAAGAGCCTCCGCTTGAAATACAGTGGTACCTCGGGTTAATAACTTAATTCGTTCTAGAGGTCCGTGCTTAACCTGAAACTGTTCTTAACCTGAGGTACCACTTTAGCTAATGGGGCCTCGCTGTGCTGCTGCTGCGCGATTTCTGTTCTCATCCTGAAGCAAAGTTCTTAACCTGAGGTAAAATTTCTGGGTTAGTGGAGTCTGTAACCTGAAGCGTCTGTAACCTGAGGTACCACTGTACTGCAATGGCTTTGGCTTCTCTGTTTCACAGGAGAGCATTAAAACGCTCCCTCTTGTGGTTGTTATTAATCTCTCACAATCCCTCATTTGCCTCCTAATCCCCTTAATTAGAGGTTGACTTAATGCTCCGAGGCTAGAATTTCATGTCTGCTGTCAAGCTAGTTTGCTCTCTGCCACGTGGCTCTTGAGGCCTTCAGCAGTGCGTCCTGGGGTATCCGATTTCTCCCAGCGGCCCTTCTCTTTCCCCTCAGACGATTTTGTACATTTAGCTGGCATATCAACTGAATCCCCTGTTTTGCCTTAATTTGTTCAGGGCTTGCCTCCTCTGTCACGTAAAGCAAAGGGAAGCAAGGGAAGGGGTGTTAAGAAGCTGAAGGCAAAGCAGATACTGTGGTTGAGGAAACTAGTGCAGAGAATTATAAACGGGCTGGGAGACCATTTTACAGATGGCAAACTGAGACCAAGAGCTAGTGATGTGTCTCTGTGACTGAGGTAGAGTTTCAACTCAAGTTTCCTGGGCCCACAAGCTACCCACACAGGATTGTAATGCTTGTGGAAGTTGAATGCTGGAAGAATTTGGGCAGACAAAGGAAAAAAGTCCTTCACACAGGGCATAGTTAAACAATGGAATGTGCTTCCACGAGAGGTAGCAATGACTGCCCATTTGGATGGCTTAAAAAAAGCATTTGGCAGGTTCAACAAGACCAATAGTGAGTCCAGCGGCCAAGAAGGCGATTTCTGCATGTGCTGTAGAGGGAAGTGAGGGCTTGCCAACCTGGGAAGGTAGCCCATCTAGGAGAAGGAAAGCTCTCATCCTAAACCTCTGCTTCCTTGTGGGGATATCTGTGGGAGAAGAAAAGGCTAAGGAGTAAACCCTACACAAATCCAGACTGGAGTCCCTAAGACGGTTGGACAGCACCTTGTAGGCCTCCTTCTGGCAGCTCCTGCAGCCAAGCTGGTGCCAAATGTATTGCTCTGCTTCCCTTTGGACTGTCTCCTGAGACAGACAGATGCCAGCAACAACAATGGCCACTAGCCAGGATGGATATGTTCTGAATGCCGGATGCTGGGAGTCGCAAGTGGAGAGCATGTCCTGTTGCCCTCAGGTCCCGCTTGCAGGCTTCCCAGAGGCACTGTGGGAACAGGATCTTGGATGGGCCACTGGCCTGATCCAGGACGACTCCTCTTGTGGAACTGCCATCTCTCACTGCCCCCTTTACATGCTTCTATTCTGTTAGTTCAGCCCCCATTTCTAAGAGTGATAAGGTGGAATTTTCCACGCTCAGTCTTGTCCTATTGTTCCTCCAAGGAAAGGAGCCTGCATTGGCTTTGATCCCAGGTGCCCATTTAGAAGAAAGAAACTGGTTCAGTCACCTCCAGGGTTGTTATATGTATTCCAACCTTAGCAGGTTTCTTGTTCGAGGGCGGGCTCTTATCTGGATTGGAATGCGAGGGCTTAAGAATCCTGTCTTCCATTCAAATTTGCACAACTTTCTAGTCCTTGTGGTTTTGGAGAAAAATGCATTTTCCTTAGCTCTACGTATTTGCCCTTATGAAAAAGCAAAGCAAAGCAAAGCAACTTAGCCCGATCTCAGGATTTCAAAATTTAAAAACTGGTCTTTGGAAAACAGAATGATGTAGGCAAAGTAAGGAGATGCATGCAGATATATTTCATTTGCATAAATGAGGCTAATTGCTGATTTTTGGATGCGCAAAATTTGAATACTTTTGGGATAGTGTACACACAGCCCAAGAAGTATACCGGCTAAAGGCTGAAGCACTTTATGGACCGTTCTAAATAGCCATTTACCTGATCACCAGTGAACTGGACTCCCTTCCAGACAAGGGAAGTGTCTGTAAACAGAGAGCTGGTCATTTCAGGTCATCAATGTAAATGGTATACATGTGCTGTAAAGATTTTCCAAGGTTTTTTGCCTCTTGCTGCCCCCTGCTGTTGGAATTGTTTTCTGCATCCATTTAAACAATCCTTTTCCCAAATTGCAAAATCTGCTAACTACACATTGTCTGGAAGCCTGTAGATGTAATAAACATCCAGAGGACCCTGCACTCACAGTCACTGCCTTTTCTTTTTCTGAGCCTGTGCACCTTTAAAATAGGTATCTTGCAGGCAGAAATTCAGTAGACATTTCCCTCGCAGCATTGCATTTTTGTGCCGGAAGATCTGTTGAATTTCTGCCAGGCACACAACTGAAATATATACAGCACTTCTGTCATGGGGAGTGGGAGGCAGATATTGAGTCTACAAGACTCCCTGTCATCACCCATAACAGTGAAATGTCTTCCCAACAGAAGGAAAACCAGAAAGAAATAGTTTGTATTACGTTGAGCCTCCTCCCATCCTATGTGGAGTCCTTGCCTATCCTAAGTATGAAATCCTAGAGCCCAGGTCTACTTAAAACCCATACTTCTTCCACTAGCTTCCAGGCTGTTCTGCAGTCACTGGTTTTAAACCCCAACCCCATCTTTGGGCCCCTGGTGAAATGAGTTGGGGAAATGACCATTGCTCAGTGGTAGAGCACATTGTGAAAGGGCCCAGGTTCAGTTCCTGGCATTGCCAATTCAACTGGTCCCCATGGGGGTGAGGAGAAGGCAGGGGGAAAGACCTCTGTGTCTGACACCCCAGGGAGCCGCCACCAGTAGGACTACGCAGCGCTGGACTGGATGGAGAAAGAATCTGACCAGCTTCCCACATTGCTCCAAGAACCCTTCTTCAGAACCACTCTATGGCACTTGGCAGCCATGGTCCAACCTGCCCCCTCAAGATGTCTTGGACTGTAACTCCAATCATGCTGCCCAGGGATGATGGGAGTTGTGGTCCAAAACATCTTGATGGAGGCAGGTTCCACCAAGGCTGGCTCACAAGTAATAGGCTCTGCCCTATTATTTTGCGTTTGGCCTGACCCCTGAGCTGCCATTATGCTGCCTGGCTCTGGTTGGTGAAACTGCATATTCCAGCAGAGAGAACAGAAGCAAGCTTGTTCACAAGCCTGAAGTCGTCTGCTCACTGGCCTGGTTGCCTCGGCCTCCCTGTCCCCAAAACGAAGCCGTTCTCCTTGATGCCAGCTTCTAAAATCTACCCCAGCTTTTAATGCTGCGATCTCTAGGTTTTGTCAACGCATAGGCTCTCTTGCTGGCAGTGCTTGCATGTGAAATTTCTATCCAGCTGGAGCCAGAACCGTGTAAGAGTTAGAGTGTAAGACTTTGGCCAGGGAGATCCAGAGTTCAGATTCCCCCTCGGCCATGAAGCTTGTTAAGTAACCTTTGACCAGCTGTTCGTTCTCTCTCTCTCTCTCTCTCTCTCTCTCTCTCTCTCTCTCTCTCTCCCTCCCTCCCTCCCTCCCTCCCTCCCTCCCTCCCCCTCCCCCTCCCCCTCCCCCTCCCTAGCTTCATGTGGCTTATGGGGTGGGGGCCATAACCTACTCCACATCTGCCATACTAAGCTAATGGAAGGCCAAGATACAATACAAATGCATTTAAATATTCATCCAGGTTCTTCTAAAGTACAGTGGTACCTCGGGTTAAGAACTTAATTCATTCTGGAGGTCCGTTCTTAACCTGAAACTGTTCTTAACCTGAAGCACCACTTCAGCTAATGGGGCCTCCTGCTGCCACCAAGCCGCCGGAGCACGATTTCTGTTCTCATCCTGAAGCAAAGTACTTAACCTGAAGCACTTCTTCTGGGTTAGCGGAGTCTGTAACCTGAAGCATCTGTAACCTGAAGCGTATGTAACCCGAGGTACCACTGTACCTCAGGTTACAGACTCCGCTAACCCAGAAATAGTACCTTGGGTTAAGAACTTTGCTTCAGGATGAGAACAGAAATTGCACGGCGGCAGCAGGAGGCCCCATTAGCTAAAGTGGTGCTTCAGGTTAATAATGGTTTCAGGTTAAGAACGGACCACCAGAACGAATTAAGTTCTTAACTCGAGGTAACGCTGTACTTTCCTCCCAAGCTCACATCGCTTTTAAGCATAGTGTCTTTCCTTTACTTTCCCAAGCTCACATCGCTTTTAAGCATAGTGTCTTTCCTTTACTTTCCCTGAGTTGAGGAGGAAAGCAGAGTCTCCTGCCATCCTTCTGAAAGCTGTCACTTCATAAATCATCACAATTCATTGCAAGCAGCTCACCCCTTCAGGCCTGATCAAGAACTCTGTGTGGCTTCAAACCTTGCAAACTCTTACAGAAGCTGGCTCACTAGGAAAGGGTTTCCCTGCTCCCCTTTCCAGCCCATGGGATCCACTATCTCCCTGCTCCTCACTCCCCAGTGAATTGCATGATTCCCAGTTCAGGGTAGAGGACAGGAGGAGAGGATCCAAACCACCTTAGCGCCCCTATTCATGCAAGCTTACCTTTTAAAATCTTCCCCTTTTTCTTTACCAAGAAGAGCTGTGCTGTCTCCGTGCTTTGAAAGAAAATAGTATTTTAAAAGAATCTCGCCGTACCAGGGATCTCCACCGTTCTTTGTTCCTGCTCCTTTCCACCCCGGACTGCTGTGATGCAACAGGGGCTGAAGTTCAACTCTGGGAATTCCTCCCCCCCCAAAAAAAAAGAAGATAGAAAGGAGGGGAAGGAGTTGGAGACTTGTTCCCGCCCCTGATTGGGGAATGGCTGCCTCACAAATGGAAATCGCAGTGTTCCCACGCTCCGATCACCAGCCTTTTGTGCTCCTCTCCCTGGGCTTGGCAATGAAGGCAGCACTTTTGAAAGCGGTGGCACTGATTGCCAATGTAGCAGCAGCAGCAGAAAGCAGGCGTAGAGCAGGGCAAGATCTCTCTCTCACACCCACCCATCCACCAGGGATGTCAGCCGCTTAGCTCCCTGAAGGCCCCTGCCTCGTGGCTCCCCTGGTGCTTGCAGATTACACATTAACTGAATCTGTTTGTTCATGGCGAATGAGTGATTAGAGAAGTTGGGTTAGCAGCAGTCCTGGACTGAGGCTGCCTGGCTTGTTTGTTCTTTTTAATCCTGAGGCAGAAGACCCAGCAGCATGACCCGCCCTGCAGGAGGGTGCTTGTGGTGTCTCTGGATGAGTCCCTGCTCTGGGCTTTCCTCTTCCTAACACACACACTCCTATGAGAGCATAAGGGTTTCCTGGAGCCTGATCATGGGTCCGCCCTAGCTACAGGACTTTGATTGGCAGCAGCTCTCTGAAGATCCCAATAGAGCAAGGGTCAGCAACCACAAGTGACGCCCACAAGCCACCCCCGAACTGAGCCGCCCATTTGACGAGTCTCCGCATGCTGTGCTAAACCAGTGTGGCGCAGGGACTCGCTTCTGCGGCGCCAGAAATTGCGTCTGTGCAGACGCCGGAAATTGTGTTTGTGTAGACGCAGGCACGCGCGTGCAATCCGGCCCACAGAGGGATCTCAGCTGGAGTGAACCGGCCCAGGCGAGGTAAACCTTGCCAACCCCTGCAGTAGAGGCTTTCCTCAGCCTTCTTTCTGATTGTCTTTTTGGTTAGGGTTTGGAGCCAGGGTGGGGTGGAAACCCATAAGTCCCCCTGGATGTTGTCAGACTCCGACTCCTATCAGACCCAGCCAGTATGGGCGATGGACACTGTGTTTTCTCAGGAATGAATACCTCTGGATTAACATTCACTAGGCGTGCTCCTGCAGCTGATGAGCCAGGGGCAGGGTAAGAGTTAGGGCAGAGCGAAGACTTGTCCTCCAGAATGGGATGTGTGAGACCCAGTAGCTCGGTCCTTCTCTCTTGCTCAGAGAACAGTGCTGGGAGCTTTGGCCTACTAGGCAGAGGCTGAAGACCAAGGAGGAGGGCAGGAAATGCAACCTGGATCGTCCTGGCATTGCAGAGGCCCTGTGTTAATTCCAGACTTGACTGTGGGGTTTTTTAGTAGCAGGCTCTATAACCATGATCTAGGGCTGCAGAACCAAAGGAAGGCGTACTCCGCCACCAGCCAGGGCACTGCTGGCCACTGGGGAGCTTCACCCACTGCCACCTAGGTGACTATCTTGGCCCCATCCATTAGCCAGAGAAGGACCAGCTGCCCCAGGGATTGATTTCCTCTTCCCTCCTCATTCCCTTTTCCTTTTGTATCATTGTCTGTTACTACAGGTCAGTGGAATCTGCAGGCAGGGGCTGTCTCCTCTTTTAATATATGCACAGCGCTTAGAAAATTATATGTGTTTTCTTTGTGTTAAATAATAGGGACAGGATTTAATACCAGTTCTTCGCCCATTTGCATCTTGCCTTCTAGGTTTTGAGAGGGAGGACCAGCGATGCGCTAATTTCTCTTCTCGGTCCCCAGAGATTTTTAAGCACCACGTTCAAGGTGAGGAAACTTGTGGGCTCAAGAACTCCTAATCTGGGGGGAATCTGAGCTAGGAAGATGCGGGTTGGATCCGAACCCTCGCAGAGGGAGATCCCACCTTTTACTTTGATATTGAAAAAGCAAATTCCTAGTCCTCATGGAGGCCTGACTGATGAACGGTCCCTGTTTCTTGTTTTGTTTCAAAACCAGGCCTCGGACCTCCAGATTGAATTGAACAAGCACCCAAAGTCCAAACCGGACCCCAAGGACCTGGTCTTTGGCAAGTATTTCACAGACCACATGCTCATGATAGAATGGAGCCAGGAGAAAGGCTGGGGGAAGCCACACATCAAACCTTTCCAGAACCTCTCGCTGCATCCAGCCTCTTCCGCCCTGCACTACTCAGTGGAGGTAACTGCTTCCTATATAAAAAGAGTCTCCACTGTCAGTTTCACTAGGCAGAGTCTCTAAATAGCTCGTTTCTTCCATACGACTCTCCTCTCTCTCTCCCATCTAGCTCTTTGAGGGGATGAAGGCATTCCGGGGCCCAGACAAGCGCATCCAACTTTTCCGTCCCATGATGAACATGAACCGCATGTTACGTTCCGCGCTCCGTACTTCCCTGCCGGTGGGTACTTCCGGTGAGGCTGCCCCTTGCCTCCCTCTCCTGCAGGAACCGTGGGTTGCTGCATCTTAAGCCGTCTTCAGCTATGCCCCCCCCAAGTGGTGCTGCAAGGTTTGGGGGCTGAGACCCAGGTCCGCCCCCCCCCCCGCTCATCCTCTGGTCATGCAGGAGGGTCCCTGAACACAGCAAGGCTGCCTTGCTACCTTCTCAAAGGGATGCACAGATCTCTGAGCCTGGCATCTACATTGACCCAACCGCCCCAGGGCAAAGCCTGAACTTCTTGCATTCGGCTCGCCCTTTCCCTTTTCTCTCCTCGGCACAAACGGTGATGCAGTCCCTTTCTCCGCATAGGGTGCGAGCGTGTTCGAAGAAGTGGCCCTCCAGGGTTTTTACCTGGGGAGTCCGGGACTCGAACTCGGGACCTTCTGCATGCAGGGCAAGATGCTCTGCCGTTGGGCTGCAGCCCTAAAGCATATTTCTGTGCGAGTGGGGAAAGAGGCTCGCCTTGAGGCTCTTGGGGTCCAGAAAGGAGAAGGGGAAACAGCATCACCGGTCTTACTTGCTCTTTCCCCATCCCTTCCTTCTGCACTACAGCCCTTCGACAAGTCTGAGCTTCTCGAATGCACCCGGCGGCTGATCCACCTGGACCAAGACTGGGTCCCCCATGCCGAATCCACCAGCCTCTACATCCGCCCCACCTTCATCGGCACCGAGGTGTGTTTTCCGGGCCCGCCTCCCCGCTCTCCTCTTTAAAGTATACCTTGGAAGTCGAACGGAATCTGTTCCAGAAGTCCGTTCGACTTCTAAAACAATCGAAAACCAAAGTGCGGCTTCTGATTGGCTGCAGGAAGCTTCTGCAGCCAATCAGAAGCCAGGGAATGTGGGAAAGTTTATATAATTTAGCAGAGTTTAAAAGATCTCCTGTTTGAGTTCATGCAGCAGTAAGCGGGTTGCTAACTCGTTTGAGTCCTATCAATAATTATACCTTCCTGGTTGATAATCCCTTTCTGTCCCTCTTAAAGAAAACACACATGAATCTGAATCATATTAACATAAGCTACTTTACTATCAGATTCATTCAGGTTTACAGAGTTGTTCCTGAAGGCAGGCTTAGGTTACATAACAGATAAACTATATACTAGATAGCAGTTAGTCATGAGAAGACTGCATCCAAGCAGTTGCCAGTTAACACTCCTTGCAGCAACCGACCAACTGACCAACTGAAAAAACTGCCTGCCCCATAGAGGCAGTTAGTCCTCTCAGAGTGTTGGACTGGACTGACAGCTTTATATCCCACACGGAAGCCCCGTCAGACATTCGGCTTCCAAAAGAACGTTCGAAAACTGGAACACTCACTTCCAGGGTTTGATCGTTCAGGAGCCAAAACATTCAAGAAGTAGGGCTGTTTGACTTCCAAGGTATGACTGTATTTCTTCTGCTAGAAAGGCTCCCTCAGCGGCTTACACGCAGTCAAAACAAGGCAGTCTCTACACACAGCCCCCCCCCAAAAGGCCACAGCACCCCAGGGAAAAGGGGGAGGGGAAAATCAAAACTCAGGCACCCCCAGTTTCTAAACAGTAGTTCCTAGATTGGCCAGATGGCATAGTTTGGGGCAGGAGGTGCCTGATGGAGCGAGGCCATCAAACCTGATGGAATGTGCCCTGGTTCCTGTTTCTCCCACGGAGGCAGCCTGATGGAATGGTGACTGTTGAGGCAACAGGAAGGAGGCTTGATGGAGCTGGCCTGTCACCGATGGAGGGTATTGCTCGACTGCCAATTAGGGGAGCTTGGTACGTTGGGGGCGCACCATCCTCAGTCCGCCATCTTACAAGCAGCCCAGCCTCTTGGCGTCTTCCTTCTCAGGGTCACCCTTGAGGGAGGAGCAGCGGGAAGAGGATGGGGACAGAAACAATGAGCTGGCTGCCCCTGCCATTGGCTCTCGTTGACTCTGACTCTGTCCCCTGCTGGGCTGCCCTTCTTCCCACTCTGCCCATTCCAATGGCCGCCAGCCAACGCCTGTGCCAACACCTTGTTCTCTCTTTCTCCCTCTCCACAGCCCTCCTTGGGGGTCGCCAAGTCCAGGCACGCCTTGCTCTACGTGATCCTGGGCCCCGTGGGAGCTTATTTCGCTACCGGCACCTTCAGCCCCGTTTCCTTATTAGCCGACCCTCGCTTTGTCCGTGCCTGGATGGGCGGCGTGGGAGACTGCAAGGTGGGCGGGTGAGTACGGCTTCTGTTTCAACAGGTACGGCAGCAGGATGGTCTCCAGCCCAACGCTGCCGAATCCAGGGGCAGCCAGCGTGGTGGCCTCCGGGTCTTGATGGACTGCAACTCCCATCAGCCCCAGATAGCATGGCTAATAGTTGGGAGGGATGGGAGTTGTATTCCAGTAACATCTGCATTGGCTACTCCTGCCTAGCCCGACTGGCAGTGGATATCCAAGATCTCAGGAAGAGAGAGAAAAGGGAGCGTATTTCCCAGGTGTTTGGAAATAATTTAACTGGAAATGCCAAGGACTTCACTAGGCCTGGGTGATATATCGCCCAGGACTGGTATGAGGAGCAGACCGCCATGTCCGCTTCACTCAGAGATATATCACTGGTGAAACCGCCACCGCTCCTGAGTTCCTCTGCTAGAAGCGTCCGCTGGAGGGAGTCAAGAGTTCCTTCCTCCAGTGGGTGCTGCTAGCAGAGGGAATCAGGAGAGGCAGCAGTTTCACCAATGATACGTCACTGAGTGAAACCGCCCTTGCACTCTGCCCTCATACGATGCAGAGGGAGAAACAAGCTTAATAATAATAATAATAATAATAATAATAATAATTTATTTATACCCTGCCCATCTGGCTGGGCTTCCCCAGCCACTCTGGGTGGCTTCCAACAAAATATTAAAATACAGTAATACATCTAACATTAAAAGCTTCCCTAAACAGGCGTGCCTTCAG